CTTGATAACCCTTATTAATTGTTTGATCACTGGGTCAGAAGTCATGCATAATAACCTTTTCACATGACTAATTGGCTGCTGATAGGGGGCATACATGTTTTACAAACATATCTTGTTACTTGAGATATTCAATTGAAACTTACAATACTTATTAATAGTAACAAGGTACATCAGATTGACAAGTTGGATAACTCTGCCTATAATATTGACAGAATTATGCCCCTTTTTAACTTAGAAATTTTGGTTAAAGTTTTTTGTAAAGTCAAATATCTCAATTATTGCTTGAGATATTCAATTGAAACTTACAATACTTATTTATAGTAACAAGGTACATCAGATTGACAAGTTGGATAACTCTGCCTACAATATTGACAGAATTATGCCCCTTTTTAACTTAGAAATTTTGGTTAAAGTTTTTTGTAAAGTTCAATATCTCAATTTTTGCTTGGGATATTCAATTGAAATTTAAAATACTTATTTATAGTAACAAGGTACATCAGATTGACAAGTTAGATAACTCTGCCTACAATATTTGCAGAATTATTTGCCCCTTTGAAACTTAGAAATTTTGGTTAAAGGTTAAAGGTCTTCAAAGATATTTACTTGAAACTTTACACATGCACTTAGGGTCATAATTGTATGTCACTGACCAAGTTCCATAACTCTATCTTGCATTAAGGCTGATTCATATCCCCTTTTCTGTTAAGTCTCTTGGTTAATGTTTACATGCAAGTTTTACATAACTCAATAACTAATAAAGATATTTATTTAAAACTTCACATATGCATTTAGAGTCATAATTGTAGGACACTGACAAAGATCCATAATTCTATCTTGCATTTAGGCTGACTTTTCTCCCCTTTTTCAACTTAGAAATTCATGGTAAAGTTTTGCTTGTAAGCTGTTATCTCAATAACTACTAAAGGGTTTGTGCCATTTTTGGGACAATTTTATGCATTCATGATAATAAAGCAGTGATTTACTTGATAAAACATCTTAATAACAAGCCTTTGTACCTTTTCTGTCAAATTGTGTATTCATAGGTAATTAGTATTATTATACTCAATAAAACACCCTTGTGACATTACCTTCCGAATTATAAGTAAAGCCAATACTGTATAACTAGACTCTCTCTAAGGCCTATAACATGAATTTATAAAAGAAAATTAGCCCTTTTGTGAACTTAAAAAATTTAACATTATCAAGGCTCTTTTACTATCAAGCACTTAGAATAGTCGAGCGTGCTGTCCTTCCGACAGCTCTTGTTTATTATTATTATTATTTATTTTTTTTTGATATTGTAACGTTTTTTGAACCATAAAAAAATCTCCTCTACACCTCTTGTGAAAATTAAATTGTCTGGTCAACACTTTATTATATTAATATTTCCTTACGATTCAACTAGATTTATCATGAATCTAAAGATGTGGGGAAATGACATCACGCGCACCTGTTTTTATACGGCCAATACACAAACATGGCCGCGCTTACTGATTTATAGAAATCGGTGATTTAGCGATTTAAATTTTGTTATCATTCGTTTAATATTATTATTTGGCGGCAGAAAATTTGCAGATTTATTATTTATAGTATTCTTTTTCTGAAATCAAGTTTTTATCCTAACCTTGTCTTTCCCTTTAATAATTGAATTTTTAAGTGGGCCGAGTTGACCCGTGCCGAGTTGGTATAGGGCCGAGCTGACTCGGGGGCCGAGTACGTTTTAGGGCCGAGCTGACCCGGATTCGTCTGCCACCAATGGATAATTTCATAATATTGAAAGTCAACCTGAATTAATCGGTCATGCCCACTTTCTGTTTCATAAATGAGGAGCTTTATGACGTTGGAACATAAACAGTAGTTCATTCTTTGTTGACTCTAGGCTTTTGAAAAATATTGCTGTAATGATATGATGATAATATTTGTTGATATCAGGTCAACTCGAATGCACAGGCACGAGTATCGGACCTGGGATGAAAAAATAAGACCAGATTGATAATAAAACCTGTGTTCATCTTAAAAGTGTCAAAAACCAAAAAAAAAATGTAAATAATGACCCCCTTTAAAAATATACTATAAGTTAAGAGAAGGCCGGAAACTCCAGATTCGAGCCTACTAGCAAGGGATTCATTTCCCAAGCCGTTGTGAAAACAATTGGCCAGACAATTAAAAAAAACTTTTATCACTATTTCATGTTTGTATTAAGCTTCCAAATGAGACCGACCCCAAGTTTCTAGCCCTTCCCGTTCATGAAATATCTATCAGGAAACAAGCGAATTTGTGCTAAAAATCCTTGGTAGACAGAATTGAGGCACAACGATTCGGTACGTAAACATAAACTAATACATGTTTGTCAGCTGAGTACAGGTCAAAATCACTTGAATTTACTAAATAATATTACTAAATACATTAAGTTGGACCACTCACAACCGTCAGTAGCATCTGATACACATAATATTCGAGTTTCAAACATTTACACGGTCTTTCAATCACTTTCTACGCCATTAAGCATCCTTCTGTGAAACGTTGTGGTTTCTTTGCTATTGGCCAATCAGAAGACTCGTTACAAAATATCGAACAGCTGAGAAAGGAATCTAAAGACCGTGGAAAGGTTTGAAATTCGAATTTTACGTGTATCAATTGCTACTGACGGTTGTGAGTGGTCCAACTTAATATATTTAGTAATATTATTTAGTAAATTCAAGTGATGCAATACAATTGAGCAAGTGTTTGAAGTTAACACATGACATCTTTGGGTGTTGTCAGTTGGGGACTAAACAATGAACAGCAATAAACAGATGTATTAGTGGTGATGCATTAAAATAGGACCAATCATGACATACTAAGCGCATAAATTAGTTGGTATGTCTGTGAACATGTTGACACAATTTTGCTTTACAAAAGTGTGCCGCCAAAAGTGTTGCATGTTTTGATGTTTACAATTGACAAATCATCGGGAATGAAAATATGTAGGTAAATGAGTTTATATAACAATCTTATTAACAGTGATTTTTTCACTGTATTTTACAGTCAAATACAGGCTGTTTCCCCTAGCCAAAAATAGGTATATTTTCCCCTAAAAATATTAATATTTTCCCCTAAAATGCCTCATGCTTTGTATGCTCCCCGAAAATTTTCGGGGGAGCATATAGTCGGCGCCTTGTCCGTCTGTCCGTCCTTCCGTCTGTCCGTCCGTTGTCTTGTCCGGAGCATAACTTGAAAACCCTTGGAGATAATTAGTTGAAACTTCATACAGTGGTAGAGGGCATTGAGGGGGAGTGCAGTGTCAAAGAACCATAACTCTATTTTGCCCGGTTTTTGAATTATCTCCCCTTATAGAAAAATCTTGTCCGGGGCATAACTCTAAAACTATAAGAGATATCAACATGAAACTTTGTAGGTGAATAGATCTCAATGGGTAGATGTGCAGTGCATAAGAACAATAACTCTTTTTGTCCTAATTTTGGAGTTATTGCTCTTTGTTTATTTTAACACTTTGAACTTTGTCCGGACCATAACTCTAAAACTATAAGAGATATCAAGATGAAACATTGTAGGTAGATAGATCTCATTGAGTAGAGGTGCAGTGCACAAGAATCATAACTCTGCCTTGCCTAATTCTGGAGTTATTGCCCTTTGTTTATTTTTACTTTTTGAAATTGTCCGGGACATAACTCGGAAATCATAAGAGATATCATCAAGAAATCAAGAAAACTTGTAGGTTGATAGATCACATTGATTAGAAGTGCAGTGCAAAGAACAGTAACTCTGCCTTGCCTAATTTTGGAATTATTGCACTTTGAACTTTTTCCAGGGACATAACTCTGAAACTACAAGAGGTGTACTTTCTGTGTCCAAAACCTATTCGGGGAGCATCACCCGGCTCAAACCGGGCTCTTGTCTTTACCAGAACCATGACTTAACAGCATCTGACTGATATCAGCTAGAAGACAGAAATCTGTCTCTATAGATAGCCTCTGCTGTGTACCATGCATGTTAAATTGAATTGAAAGTTATTTTGTTCATAAAATGTGGGTAAATTTCATTTTCAGTTGTTTGAATTTGATTTCAGGTTTCCCCTTTTTCTAATTTATTGCGCTATATTTTCCCCTTCAGAAAGCCACAGGTTGTTTTGTAAATTGGGGAAAAAAATCACTGTTATTGGTGCTATATCTGGTGATGGTTCTATAATATAATTTATATTAAAGACAGGGAGGACTGTTAGAGGCAGACAGAGAGGATAGTAGCTTGAAATAAGACAGACTGTGCATCAATATCAAGCACAAATTATTATAAATTATAACAGGATATTTTTTCGTTTGAGTGAAATATGGAATATATTTTCACGAAACATGATAAAATGCCACATATTTTCACGAGCCGGGACGGCGAGTGAAAATGTGTGACATTTTATCATGTTGAGTGAAAATATATACCATATTTCACGAAAAACGAAAAAATAACCTTTTTATTTAATTTCATTATCAAAGAAAACGGTTACGAACCCTATTGCTTGCTACGCAACTGCAATTGTACAGCGAAAAGCAATATATTATTGCGTCTTGCTTTGCACGCGATATTTGGCGCTACATTGTGACGTCACGTAAACAACTGTTTAAACGTCTGTACAGCGTTAATTACTGAATTAAAGATATTGGTGTTCGGATTAATTTTCTTAGTTAGACCATTTTCTATCATTCTAGATAGTTTTCAAAACAAAATTCAAGAAAAATTTGTTTTGTATTTATCAGATTTTTCAAACAAAATGGCGAAAGAAGTCCATTGAAATAAATATGAGTTTTGACTCCGCCCACTTTCATATTTATATCTCATATTTATTTTTAAAAAAATATGAAATATATTTGACTGATATAGCACCATATTTCATGGGTAAAATTAAATAATATGTAATATTCAACATGAAACATTGAACTTCACACCTTTTATTTCAAAAGTTGTGTGTAGATAAATCGGGAATTTCAACATGAAACATTTACTTTCAGAGCATGATGACAGATGGTCTGATGATGGTGGTTCTAGGCGATCGCGTGGTCGTGGTGGTTACAGAGGAAATAGAAGGTCATTTTACAACAAAAGTATGAGTTAACAGTGTTATTATTAAGAAAATTTACTTGATTCTTCATATCATACTAGTACTGGTTAGTTCCAGGAAACAGACTCAAAAATGATTTATATAAGCTGCAAAAACTTGTTTAGCAATGAAGCTTAAGTAGATATGTTTAAACTAACAATTGATAAGTTTTTTGACTTTATAAATATTATTTTTTTAGTTATGTGGAAACTTTACATGATACTCAATTTGTTTTCTACATAATCTATACAAGTAAATGTATAAAATGGTTCAAACTTGATATATTAACTATCTGTTACCAAAGTTATTATGTATACATTGTCTTTAAAAATGGTGCCTTTTGGAATATTATTAAAAACTAGTTTTACATTAAATTTTAAAAACTTCATAGCATATTAAAATATGAATTTAATCTTTTAGGAACACATGGGTTCAACAGTTACAACAGAAGAAATCCTAGTAATTCATTTAGAAGCAGAGGCAGGGGAAGAGGTGGGCCAAACCCTAGAAGTCGTGTAGATGATGAAGGAGATGATTATATGGGTGGTGATACTGCTAATCAGCCAACACAGAGTAGATAGTAAGTTAGCATTTCTGTTTGATGTATTAAAGCAAATTATAATTGAAACTTTAAACTTTTGTTCAAGAATGAGGTTTTATTTAATTATTAAGAAGATGAATTAACTTACAATTTCAGTATCTTTGAATTTCATTTTTTGATTAATTCTGTTTATTCTCATCCAGCAATCCATATAACCGACCAAATAAAGGTGGTTTCCATGGCAAGAATGGAAGATACGACAACAGCTCTAATAATAGAAGTTAGTATCAACTAAACAAAATTATTAGTTTCTTTCTGTTATATTGATAAGTTATTGTTTAACTTTTAAGATAATTTTGTGTGTGATTAGAATGAATAATTTAAACTGAAGACTTTTCATAAAAAAATCATTAAAGGATATAAAGCTATATCTTATGAAATATTTTGATACAATTTATCAACAGTAAAATTATTCCATTTTTATATGGTTGATTCCCAAAAAAGTTTAACATAGAATGTCTCTGTTATTTAATACACATAAAAAAGTACCGGTACATAAACAGAATAAAATGTTCCGGAACAAAATATTAGTTTGCTTTTTTTAGCTCACCAGAACCGAATGTTCAGGGTGTGCTATTAGTATCAAAGGGGGATGCTCTGGCGTTCGGCATCCGTCGTCATGCGTCAACAGTCATCTTCTTCTCTGAAACTGTTGGGCAGATTTACTTCAAATTTGGTCTGTAGCATCCTTGTGACAGTCACACTTGAATTTGCTCATGTCATTTCAATTGGCCCCTTTTAGAGGTCAACAGAGCTAAAAATATAAAAACCTTTAATCATCTTCTACCACAGAACTAATTGATGGATGATCACCAAACTTTGTCTGAAGCATTCTTGGGTAGTCTTTTTATTAAGTTTGCTCATATTAAACTGATTGGCCACTTTTGGGGGTCTCTAGGGCTAAAAATAGAAAAACCTTTAAACATCTTCTACAGAACTAATTGATGGATGATCACCAAACTTTGTCTGTAGCATCCTTGGGTAGCCTTTTATCAAGCTTGCTCATATTAATTCAATTGGCCCCTTTTAGGGGCCGCTAAAGCCAAAAATAGAAATACCTTTAAACATCTATTTCTACAGAACTAATTGATGGATAATCACCAAACTTTGTCTGTAGTATTCTTGGGTAGTCTTTTATCAAGTTTACCTGACAATTGAAAATAAAGACAAACTTTTACACTTACAGAATGAATTGACTGAATTAAGAAATAGAAAAATAAGAGGTGCTATGATAAGGTCAAGGTCACAATGGATTGAATCTGGAGAAAAGCCTACTAGTTATTTTTTAAACTTAGAGAAAACACATTGTACAGATAAAGTTATTCCTTTTCTAGAACTTGATGATGGATCCTTTATATATGATCAGAAAGATATTCTTACAAAGACATGTAGTTATTATGAAAATTTATATAAAAATGTTGATATAACTGAAGAATCTAAAATTGATATGGAATTCGAAAATTGTAATGTTACCAAGTTGTCTCAAAATGAAGCATTGAATTTCGAAGGTCTACTTTCATATGATGAAGTTTCTTTTACATTAAAAAACATGAAAAATGATAAAAGCCCAGGTTGTGACGGATTTACAGCAAATTTTTAAAAAATATTTTGGAATAGAATTGGAAATTTTGTTGTAAAAGCTATAAACTTTGCTTATACTGTTATTTTAAATGGATTTTTATCAAAGTTTTTCAAAGTTAAACGAGGTTATAGACAAGGCGATCCTATTTCACCTTATATCTTCATTTTATGTGCAGAGATTTTAGCAATAAAAATAAGACAATGTAAAGATGTTAAGGGTATAAATATAGATGGGGAGGAATATAAAATTACACAATTTGCTGATGATACTTCACTTTTGCTAGATGGATCAGAAAATTCCCTTAATACTGTTTTAAAGTTATTAAATACGTTTTCAGAAATTTCAGGATTGAAAGTAAATTTTGATAAAACTAAAGTTATTTGGATAGGCTCTCTTAAATACAGTACAAGATCTATTAAGACAAAATGGAAACTGACATGGGGTGATACACAATTTAAATTGTTAGGTTTGATATTTGATGTTGATTTAGAAAAAATGATAGAGTTAAATTTTAATGAAAAACTTCAGAAAGTTAAAAATAGTATAGGATACTGGAAAAAAAGAATGTTAACACCAATAGGAAAAATTACTGTTGTTAAGTCATTACTCCTTCCTTTATTCACTCATTGTTTTACAAGTTTAAAAACACCTAATTCAGCATTTTTGAAAACACTTAATGACTTATTTTATAAATTTATAGGGGAAGGTAAAGCAAAGATAAAGCAATCAGTAGTTATTAAAACATATCAGGAAGGTGGTCTAAATATGATTGATATTGATAGTTATATACATTCTGTAAAGATAAAATGGTTTAAAAGATATGTTAGTAATAGTAACAGTAAATGTTATAAGCTAGTGATGGCTTTATTCAATATTGATAAAGTGTTTAGCACAGGTAAATTGTTTTGTAAATTGACAATTGATAAAATTAAAAATGCTTTTTGGATAGATGTTTAAAAAAAGATGATTTTTATAGATAAACTTAGTATAGACAGTTTAGAACAAGTGTTACAAATGCCATTGTTTTACAATCATAACTTATTAGCAGGAAATAGATACTTTTATATTAAAATTTTTTATGAAAAAGGAATCATATTTGTTAATGATATTATTAATCCCCAAGGCGATTTTGTAGATTTAGCTTACTTAGAGCAGGTGACACGAAAACAAGTAAATTTTTTACAATATCATAGATTGAAAAAAGCAATATTATTATACACGCAAAAGCTTAACATTTCTATTTGTAAAGATTTTATTAATGTTCAATACCCTATTATGAGTTGTTATATTAAACCTATTTTAATTACACAAAATAACAATAAGAAATATGTTTATGTAATTCTAGTTAGAAATCAAGATGTACCAACATGTGAAGAAAAATGGAACTCATTTTTTACAAATTTTGATATAAATTGTAGTTATGTATTTAAATGTACCAAAGATTCCTATATTCAGTGGTTTCAGACAAGAATAATTCATAGAACTTAAGCAACAAATTCACTTTTATTCAAAATGAAAATTGTTAATAGTAAAATGTGTACTTTTTGCAATTGCCAAGAGGAAACTCTGTTGCATTTATTTTGGGAATGTCCAAAAATTCAATTGTTATTTCAATATCTGAAAGACAAGATAGATAATTTTGATGATAATTATGCCCCCATTTCGAAGAAAAGGGGGTATATTGCTTTGCACTTGTCGGTCCGTTGGTCCGTCGGTCCGTAGACCAAATGGTTTCCGAGTGATAACTAAAGAACCCTTAGGCCTAGGAACTTCAAACTTGGTATGGTGATTGGTCATGACCAGTAGATGACCCCTATTGATTTTGGGGTCAAGGGGTCAAAGGTCAAGGTCATATTGACCTTGTAAGCAAAAACGGTTTCCGATCAATAACTAAAGAACCTTAAGGCCTAGGAACTTCAAACTTGGTATGGTGATTGGTCATGATCAGTAGATGACCCCTATTGATTTTGGGGTCAAAGGTCAAGGTCACATTGACCTTGTAAGCAAAAACGGTTTCCGATCAATAACGAAAGAACCTTCAGGCCTAGGAACTTCAAACTTGGTATGGTGATTGGTCATGATCAGTAGATGATCCCTATTGATTTTGGGGTCAAGGGGTCAAAGGTCAAGGTCACATTGACCTTGTAAGCAATAACGGTTTCCGATCAATAATAAAAGAACCCTTAGGCCTAGGAACTTCAAACTTGGTATGGTGATTGGTCATGACCAGCAGATGACCCCTATTGATATTGGGGTTAAGGGGTCAAAGGTCAAGGTCACATTGACCTTGTAAGTAAAAACGATTTCCGATCAATAACGAAAGAACCCTTAGGCCTAGGAACTTCAATCTTGGTATGGTGATTGGTCATGACCAGCAGATGACCCCTATTGATTTTGGGGTTAAGGGGTCAAAGGTCAAGGTCACATTGACTTTGTAGGTAAAAACGGTTTCCGATCAATAATGAAAGAACCCTTAGGCCTAAGGACTTCAAACTTTATATGGTGATTGGTCATGATCAGTAGATGACCCCTATTGATTTTGGGGTCAAGGGGTCAAAGGTCAAGGTCACATTGACCTCTTAGGTAAAAACGGTTTCCGATCAATAACAAAAGAACCCTTAGGCCTAGGAACTTCAAACTTGGTATGGTGATTTGTCATGACCAGTAGATGACCCCTATTGATATTGGGGTTAAGGGGTCAAAGGGCAAGGTCACATTGACCTTGTAGGTAAAAATGCTTTCAAATCAATAACTTAAGAACCCTTTGGCCTAGGAACTTCAAACATGGTATGGTGATTGGTCATGACCAGCTGATGACCTATTGATTTTGGGGTCAAGGGGTCAAAGGTCAAGGTCACATTGACCTTGTATGTTAAAACGGTTTCCGATCAATTAACTAAAAACACTTAGGCCTAGGAACTTCAAACTTTGTATGATGATTGGTCGTGACCAGCAGATGACCCCTATTGAGTTTTGGGTCAAGGGGTCAAAGGTTAAGGTCATGACCAGTAGATACTTGATAACCCTTATTAATTGTTTGATCACTGGGTCAGAAGTCATGCATAATAACCTTATCACATGACTAATTGGCTGCTGATAGGGGGCATACATGTTTTACAAACATATCTTGTTTTAATTGTAAATCATTTATTTTAGGTTCTGAAGTTAATGATTTTAAATATGATATTTTGTTTTTAGAATTGAAAAGATATATTTATTTGTCAAAGAGAAAAATCATGTTACCTACAATACCTGGTTTTAGAAATAGTCTTAAATTGGCGAGGAATATTTACAAAAATACAAATTTGACCAAACATGTAAATGAAGGATGGCAAATTGTAAGAACTTTAATAAACTAATGGGCTACTCTAAATTAATTTATTTACCCCAAACCAATATTCTTTGTTTGTTTGAATTTTTTGCATAATACATTATCATACATAATTGTTATACTTATTATATGAAAATTGATTGAATGTTTGAATATAATGTATATTGTAATTATATTATTATAGATGATGATTTAAATATTATGTAGATATCATGTAAGGTATCAGAGGGATGACCCCGACCCTCTCATACCTATTACGGGGTGAATAAACAGGGTTACCCAGTTGAGGCCTCAAAAAAAAAAAAAAAAAAGTTTGCTCATATTAATTTGATTAGCCCCTTTTAAGAGCCACTAAAGTTAAAAATAGAAATACAGTCTAACTTGCCCATGCGACCACGTGTATTAAGCGACTTTTGTCTTAAACGACCACTTCAAATTCCCCCCGATCATTTTCTCTCTATATTTTTAATGTATTAAGCGACTTTTGCTCAACGCGACCAGCGACCGCTAATTAGTCACCTAATTGAGAGCAATCTTTTCATTAAACGACCACTTTTACCTGTCAGGTAATTGTGTTTTTAGAGAACGTCGCATCGTAATTTCACAAGTGTCAACAATCAAAACACAACAAATAAATGTGTGAAAAACTCTATTTCCCAAACCGTTTTAGCGTAAGCAGTATACGCGTGACGTGTATTATCCAATAATATCGATTAAACAATGCTACGCTCCGCCCCTACTGATGTGGTGTATACGCTTCGCTTGTTGACAATGAGACTGCATTGAATTGACCTTGAACTTAATCAGCAATTAAATTAGATGTATTTTGTTTATTTCGAATGAAAAATGCACGACAGAAAAAACATCCTCACTAATAGGGTTTTCGTGATGGAGACAAGGAAAAGCAACGGAGAAGTTAAAAAAATCTGGAAAAAATGTCAAACATGTACGTAATGGATCAAAACTGTTTTGTAAATAAATAACAGAAAGTTAATTTTTACAGATTATCGAGCGTACTAATTATTCAACATTTATATAAAAATGAAGTTGTTAAACATTCCCACCGCATAAGAAAGATGTCATTTGTAAATTTTGACTTTTATGTCATGCTTTGTCTTAAGAGACCGTTTCATTAAGCGACCATTTTGGATGTTTCCCTTGCGCGGTCGCTTAATACAAGTTTGACTGTACCTATAAACGTCTATCTCTGTAGAACTAATTGATGGATGATCACCAAACTTTGTAGCATTCTTAGGTAGTCTTTTATCAAATTTGCTCATATTAATTTGATTGGTCCCTTTTAGGGGTCTCTACAGCTAAAAATAGAAAAACCTTTAGACATCTTCTTCTACAGAACTAATTGATGAATGATTACCTTTGTCTGTAGCATTCTTGGGTAATCTTTTATCAAGTTTGCTCATATTAATTTGATTAGCCCCTTTTACGGGCCGCTAAAGCTAAAAATAGAAATAACTTTAAACGTCTATTTCTACAGAACTAATTGATGGATGATCACCAAATTTTGTTTGTAGCATTCTTAGGTACTCTTTTATCAAATTTGTTCATATTAATTTGATTAGCCCCTTTTAGGGGCCACTAAAGCCAAAAATTGAAAAACCTTTGAACATCATTTCCTACTGAAATAATTGATAGATGATCACCAAAATTTGTAGCATTCTTAGGTAGTCTTTTTAACAAGTTTGCTCATATTAATTTGATTGGCCCTGTTTAAGCTAAAGCTTAAATGCCCCAGGTCATGGCATTTCTTCAAATTATTGTTTAAACATATTCTATGCTCAAATATTAGAAAATATTGACAATGGATAATTTCCAACACTGAAAAGCAGTTGTTTCTGGTGAGCGACTCAGGGCCATGATGGCCCTCATGTAGTAAGGTCTTTTTTCGTTTAGCAATGATTTTGTGCATGCGCCATTGGCTTTTAAGGCAATTAATTACCATATTTATTTCATACAAGCATTTTAGAAGTATTCTTTTTAAAATTCAAACAATAATTTTTGCAACAGATATAAAGCTTTATACACAAAAAAAAGAAGAAGTTTAGACTGCCATGTTTCTGTTAATGTTTACTTATAAAGTATTGTATAAATTGATTTTAGGTGCGAATTCTGATGCATTAAAAAGACTTGGAGTGCCATTGAATGATGGTGAGCCACAATGGTTCAAAGTTTTGGTAAGTTTTTTTGTCCCCATATTCTGTTATGCCATGACTTGTATAGTGAAAATGTCTTTTAAAATCTTATTTTTTGCCTGTAGAATCAATATGTTGTCCTTATCAAACAATATGTAAATCAAGCACCTTGGGTAAAAAATGATGTATCTAGCGAAATGTAATGCTCGCACAGTAATGTGTCAAGATTCTTTGTTACAACTATAATTTAGGAAGTGAATTTTTATTAAAAAAAACAACTGACTTTTAAGAAGTGCATGTAAAATAACTCTCAGAATCTGATAAATGATCTCGGTATTTGGTCAGGGTAAGTTATTTACATATATATTAGGGATGGCAACGAATACCAAAATCAATACTCGAGTACTCGGTCATTTTTCCGATCGAGTACTCGGTTACTCGGATGATTGCCAGTGATCTTCAAAGTTTATCACACAATATCAACACCGTCCGCATGCTACTTTCGTTTTCTATTTAAATTCATAGAATTCTGTAGATAGTAAGTAGGACTGCACGGGAGACAAATTAATTATAATTAAATCAAGAACATAATATTTTACAACGTTTTGATTAAGGCAATATCAAGTTTTAAACATGTATAACAGTTCATATATCTTTTTTCTTTTTGAAATAATATAGACTGATCGGCGGCAACAAAAGTTTAACATGGTCTAAATACAAGTTACCTTTATTCTTACATTCATGATAGCAATCGGCCCTTTGTTGTTTTCAAAACAGTTACTTCGGCTACACAATTAAAGGTAATTAATATCATAAGAGGCTGGATGACATAAGCGACACAGGTGCGCGTGTTAAACTGTTGATCGCCTTGTTAAATTTATGATATCATTTTCGCACCTCTGCAAGGATGTTTTGATTGCATTTAACGGGTATTTATGAAGATACATGCTAATCTCCGAATTTCTGAACTAATTGGATATACCAATCTAAATAAATCGCCAAAAAAAAGAAAATATATATTTTTCCGAGTAATCGAATATTAATTTTGTTAACCATTAGTCGGACGTTCGATCGAGTACTCGGTTAACCGGTTACTCGTTGCCATCCCTAATATATATTAATGTTTTACTTGTACTGCCACATACAGTTAACTTTCATGTCCAAAATTTGAATGCAGATGGACCTAATACATCTTTAAAAAAAGAAGTTTTAGTAATAGATCATTTATTTTCATTTGTAGATACCATGGGGTAAAAGGACAGAGAAAGACATTATTTTAAAGAATATTATTAGTCATGTGGACACGCCGTTTGTGCCAACATATGTAAGTTTTACCATTCTTATTACCAGTATTGTTATATGAAAATTTATATTGGAAAAAAATGATTGAGCAGAGATTATGCTACTTTCATTCTAACTAACTGTACATACATGTACATGTAAATTAAATAATTGTTAACAGTATAGTCTTTGTATATGTATTTTAGTTAATTTCTGTTCAGGCTTGTATCAGTTAATGGTTATCTTGGGTTTCTAGATTATATATCATTTATTTCCTCTAGATTATATATCATTAATTTCCTCTAAAACCAATTGTCTTCCTGATGATATGATTCACTTAAATCAGCTTTAAACTGTTGTCAGTCTAATAACCATTTATAGTTTGTGTCAAGTTAGATTAGAACTGTCAAGTTAGATTAAAAATGTCAAGTTAGATTAGAACTGTCAAGTTAGATTAAAACTGTCAAGTTAGATTAGAACTTTGCCCTTTATTGTGCTATTCTTGTCATTAATTTCAATGAGTAGTCATGTTGCTTGTACTGAATTCACATTACATGTTGCAAGCTGTTAAAATGATAATATTCCTGGTGTGATAATTACAGTTCCATTATGAGGACAACGCTGCAGTGTTTTATGTAAATGAGAGACGAACAGCAGATGCTATACGTGGGATCACTAAAAGAATTACTTTACCGAATGGATATAAGGTATATAAAAGATTTTGATTTTCAGTCTTATCATTTATAGCAGTTTCAGATTTATCACTTCTGAACTAGGAATCAAGAGATTTCTTGTTAGGATTTGATTTTTGAAGGGAGAAATTTTGCAAGAAAATCCAGCCTGCTATAAACATATACATTTGACCAAAAAACTTCTACTTTACTTGTTGTGTAAATCTCTATCTTAACAAATCAAACCTGTTACTCTACTTGTTACTCTACAAGATATCAGTTCACTATGGTGATAGTCGAGTGTGCTAACCTTTAATTCTCGCAGATGTGAGATCAAATCTGCGAGATTTTGAATTGTTTCAGCTAGTTGAATTGTTTCAGTCAGGTGCTTGCCCAAAATGGTCTTTTTCCACAGAACAGCAGGAAAATTTCTATCCTACCTTTGCAGTATCAATGTGACATAAAGCTTTACAATTATTCTTGCTAGTATAATATTAGTCTCCCGAATTAGGCATAAATAATTCAAATCAATTAGAGTAGTAGCATTTAATCATTCTTTTTTCTAGATGACGATAATTGTGAAAGAAAGTTTTCCTCCTAATATTCCCATGGGGAAAGAAGAAGTGGAAAAATTGAAGGTAAACTATTGTAAAATATAGATAGTTTTAGTTAAGAATGATGATAAAGTATGTAGAGCTGTCATTGATTCCATGCAAAGCATATCAATGATATATCGATATCGGATGACAAATATTAACGATACACCAATAGATTGATAATTACCTATAATTACTTGTCTGTCATTCAATTTCATACCTGTTTAAGTCTTGTTTATAAAAGTCCATTGCATGACTTTTCCAGACCTTTCTATTTTTGTCATGATATAGATTGCTATGAAATATTTCCACTATATAATAACAGCATAATGTTTGATATGGACACCTGCTTCTATATATTTTTGGGTGAAATTTTCATAATTTCTAGACCTTTTATTAATTAGTCAAAATTATCGATTTTTTGAAATGTTCATTGATTATTGATCGACAGAAAAATATCAACGATACATCAATGTTGTTTCTATCGATGACAGCTCTAAAATTATGTAGTCTTCTGTTGATTTTATCTGAAAAATTCACTTTTCTTGTACAACTTCAGTCGCTGTTAATTATAAGGGGTGATATTAGAATAGAAGGACTTAAAAAGTTAAGATATTTTGATTTTGCAATGATGAAAGGTTTTGGAATCATTTGAGAAATATGAATATTTTAGTGTTTGTATGTAACTTAATTACTTGAGTAGACATGCATGGATAGCTAGGATGATTGTGTATTTATTCCTTGATTGCCCTTTTCCTCACTTTCTGTTAACTGTAATGTTATTATGTGTACTTTAGTTTATAAGCCATGTTACATCATCTGTTATTTTGGTGCTAAAGTCAATTTACATTTTGTACTACAGGTAGTAATGAGCAACAGATATGATCCGACAACAAAAGCTCTGAATTTGAGTAGTTTGCACACTGATACAGGTACTGTATACTTATTCCTTATCTTCCAAATTCTGCACTGAAGAATAAGGAGAGCTATGCTATAGTCTTTGTCTTCATCAATAGTCTTTGTCTTCATCATACCTTCATTATACCTCAGTAAAAAGGTGTGTTTTTTTTAAGTCATTAATATCTTGTGTCGAAACTTGGAATACTTGTTTATGACTCTCTCTCCTTCACCTGTATATACATCCCTCCCCCTACTATCAGTTTTTACTATAAAAATTAAGATATTACTTTGAAAAATTCAGTATTTCTGACATGGATTTTGACAATATTGTCCTGACTTGGACTGAGAGCCTTCTATTTCTATATGAGACCTTGAGAATTGTTGAACTTATTACCAGATAATCAGCTCTTGCAGTTTTCTAACATATATTTAAAATATTTAAATGTAATGTAGATTTGCAGACTGTTTAAACTGTATTTTCTTTTGGTTGCAGACTTGTGTAAAGATAACTTGTATATGAATCTTGCAAGAGCACAAGTGATGACCAATGTTGTACAGATCATCAAAGAAAATATTCCAGAGGTATATTCTTTAATGCACATGTCAATTACATCCCCAACCCTCAATAACTAAGATAGTGCATGCTATTGTGGGGAATATTGGTTTTACCGTCTGACTATCCCTGCATTGCTGACATTTGCTGGGTACATGTGTTGGTTTGGTTTGGTATCATAACAGCTTGGGATATTCCCAACTGTCAGTATAGGGAGATTTAACTTGGCCTATATCATTGGTTAGCTCAACGGAATGCCTTAGTGCCTAAACACATTAAATTTGAAATCTGTTTAGAATCTTGATTACCTTTGTGAAAGGATAAATGCATTATGATATGTTTTTTTGTTTTTTTTGGAACAATAACATGGTCAGATTTAGTCAATTAAAAAATATTCTTACTTTGCAAGGAGAAATACTAATTCTTTATGATCATATTTATTAAAGTGAATAGGTCTGCAATGAGCACATCAACATAATTATTTATTTATTACAGACCTTCCTTTAGAGACCATTTTCATAAACAGTGTGCATTGAAAATTATTAAATTTAATTATAAGACATTAGTAAATAGAACATGATGAAATCTGCAAAACATAATGTATAAATTAATGTTGTTTCAGTTGTGTTGTTTAGACATGAGTAACAACAAGTTGGTTCACATGGATCATTTGGCAGCGCTGGCACCTTCAACAAGTGATCTTAAAGCACTTAACCTTGGGAAAAATAAGGTGAAAATATATTTTTTAATGGCATGACATGATGAAATCTTCTTAATGTCAAGAGATATAGAGATGAATTTTAATCTTATTTTACTATGTTTATAAATTGCTTCCAAGAAAATCATTTGTAAAAATTATGTATAGATCAAAATTACTTTTGTAATAAAGTTAATTGTTAAATGTGCATGACATTGCAAGTTTTAATTTGCATCATACATATTTTTAACAGATTTTCAAATAATATGGAGGGACTTATACTGGAATCACTTGGTCGGGTTGGTCAGTTTCTCTATAAATCCTATATCCCCTGAAGGCTGAAATGTTCACCTCAACAAGACTATGTTTAGAACCCTTAACCTCAGTTCCAGTGGCTTAAGCTTACACGTGAAGTTCAAATGTCAGACAATTTTGTGTCCATTCCATAAATCCTTTAACCCTGTGAAGGATTTCTCTTCAAACTTTGGTCAAATATTCACCTCAAGAAGGCAATGTTCAGAGCCCATACCTTGTCTGTGCTGGCATAAGGTCAAGGTCACCCTTGAAAGTCAGATGTCAGACCTTTTATGCCCGCTCTGTGAGTTTTATATACAGTGTTATTTCAATAAAGGTAAAATTATAATATATAATCAGTTGGAAAGTATAGTGATATTTTTTTTAGTTTATTGACTGTAGGTTGACATATCTTTACAGTGTACATTCCATATTAAGGAAAATCCAATATCCAGAATCTTTAACCTGGATGGTTTTCTAAGTGCCAATTCAACCATTCTGTATAAAAAGTGAAACATGTCCATAAATCCATCGGAAAGGTTGAAGGGAAAAAGACAATTTGAAAGTTTTGCAGTGAATTGCTTAATTGGAGATAAATGGCTTATTTGACACATGTTAAATAAACATATGACCAACTGGACAGGTGCAACTTAAGAGATAAAAACTGCATGTAAAGTCTTCAGAATTTCAATTTTGAGACAAAAAAAAGAAAGACAGAAAATCATAATTTATTTTCATCTTTTTCGAATATTAGTTTTCATTTTCGATATTTTGACATTTAGTGGTGTTTTGAGTATTCAAATTAAAGTTCTAGCCCTACTTTTAAAATAAATGGACTGACATGGTCATGGAGATGGTGGGGGTATTGTCACTCCTGTGGCAGCTCTAGTTATTACTATATTAAGATTTTATTCTTATTTATAGATAGCTTACATCGATCAAATTGGAAAATTAAAAGCATGGAAGTTAGAATCCCTAACACTAGATGGCAATCCTGTATGTGATAAGTTCAATGATCAGACATCATACATCAGGTAAACTGTAAACATGTTACACACATCATCATGTGTGATGATCTGGACTGCCAAAAGCTTGCAGGTACAAAGTTATCTTGTAACATAGATCAGGTGATTAGAAACTTGATCTGTGTCAGGTAAGAGTATCTAATAGTAAGGGCAGGAATTTTTTAGACAGATTTTGAGCTTGGTAATAAAGTATACAACTAGAGAGATGATAAGATAATTGAATTTCTTTTAATTGATATTATAAATGTGTATGTTTGCATCAAGGGATTAAAGTTTGAGAATTAAAACTTGAATGATTTTTAAAATCTGTAAAGTTATAATTATTTACATGAACCTATATAACACTGGAGTGCATGTTTTTGTCTTAAAATATGAGCAACTGAAATGGGCAATGTTCAGTAGAAATTGAATTGGATGTTATTTGACTAAATTATTGTTGGCTGGTAATTTTGCTTAATCAAATTTGTTCACACATATGTGGAAAATATCTGATAATGGGACAGTTTTCAGAATTATAATTTATCTTGACAGGTACAAACAAAAAGTGCAACATAATTAGGGGAATATGTGTGCATTATTTTTTTTTATAAGATAATGTCAATAATCAAAATAAACTATTCATCTTGCAGACAGAGCTCATTGTCATAATATTTAAGAGGGGTTTTTAAGTTAAAAATGGCAGTGCTGCACTATTAATATGATGCATTTTGTATATTGATTATGATATATCATTGGTGAATACTATTGATAAGTATTCAACTACTTTGGAGAAAAAGGTTATTACTTATACAGAATCAATACTGACAGTTAAATAATCTTTTGAATTATCATTGAAATGTCTGTGAAAGTTGTAATAGAAAAAACAAGTTGTGGGGTACATGCCAGAAGTATTTTGAGGATGTTTCATGGAAGTTTTTATCAGACATTTGCTAGCTTCAGATGATGTTTATCTGTTCAGTTGTCTGAAGGCAGTATCTAAATATGAAGACAAAGTTCATATTACTTTAACTTGTTTGATAAATCACACACTGAACTGACTGAAATGTGTATGTCTATATATGTATAAAAGTGACAGTGCAAATAGCACAGTATCCAAGAGACGCAGGTCTGTTACCAATGACGGGTCATGGCGTGCCAGAAAGGGCGTCGGCTTATACAGGGGCAGCTGGCTCTTGGATGTGTCACATATACAGTGGTGTGTTTGGTAACAACATAAATACATCTGAGCTAAAAATGTCTGTTAAAATATGATCACAAATTCCTCAGTCAAAACTGATATATTATCTACTGGAAAGTTTTACATTCATGAAAATGAGTTGGATATTAAAAAAACTAAATTAATGAAAACTAAGCTAATACAGTAAGGAATAATATATCAAAATAATACAAATCTTCTACCATAGTATGCCAGTGTTCATTGTGACTTCGTGATTATTATAATATTGAGGGTGTGGCGATAAAATAAAATGTAGATAAAAGGGAAAAGTGGGGAGAACTTGATGCTTTCATATACTAAAGAGATTTTGTTCTTATAAAGCTAGCTTACAATATGTTATTTGTTTTTTTCTTTAATATCTTTTTTATTGTAAGAATTCTGTCACTGTAATGAATTTGAATGAGATATTTAAGATGCATGCTTGAACATTTCTTTTCAGTGCAATAAGAAAAGTATTTCCAAAAGTTATAAAGTTGGTAAGATTTTATTGTCATCTTTATTAATTAAAAAACCAGATTATAATTTGAATAATTTCTGTAATAATGTAAGTGCTCAGATTGTTTCATCTACACTTGCCACATCATATACATAGAAATGATTTGAAATAATTTTTATACTTTAGGATGGTAATGATCTTCCACCACCTATAACATTTGATATTGAAGCAAGGACAGATCTTCCCAAATCAAAGGTATGTTTTTTCTTTTGTCGCAACTTATTATGAGAAAAAAGTTAGCTCTAACTTTGATTCTTTTTCTCTTGCTAAGGTATGTCCATACGTTGCTATTTTCTGTTGAAAGTTACGTAGTAGGCATTTCATATGATACAGGAGTTATATCATTGATTTATTATATAAGTAACAGTAAAAACACATCTTGAGGAAAATACTGTGACCCAAGGCATTACCCGAGGGTAACAGTATTCTTAAGAACGATGATAATTTTACTGTTATTCACAAACAAAAAGAAGTGGAGCTATGATTCTCTAGTCTGTATTGGCATCAGCATTGGTTAACCTTTTTGTTAGGTCCATTTTCTCAGAAGCTTTTAAAACTATAACTTCAAACTTGTACATGTGATGCCATATCAAAAGGGCAGATGATCCTAATTATTTTTGCAAAGTTATGAATCTTTTTATACCCCCACTTATTACATGGGGGGGGATAGGGTAGTTGTAGATTTGTGTCCGTTTGTTGACTTACAAAACAGTAGAATGTGGAGGCATATGGAAACATTTCTAGTTTGACTTAGTTTTTTTTTTGGCCTGGTTGATCTTTTTGTTAGGTCCATTTCTCAGAAATTATCACAAGAATGCCTATTCACTTAAAAATTTGGAATGCATTTTAAAATAGTAGAAAGTCCTAAAATTCATTTTTTTATTTTATTATTTTTCCAATTTTCTCAAAAGCTATCACAGATATTCACTACTATATCTTGATCACAATTAAGGGCAGGTAATTCTGTCATGTGCTTTTGGATTCTTTTTGTATCCTTTGCTTAAATCATACTATCCATCACTGAAAAAAGTGGAGTATGCTGTCTTAGGATGTTTGCCTGAATGAATTGTGTTACAGTCTGAAATGTAACACTAACAGAACTGAACTAGTAATTTGGTACACTTGCATAAACAATAAGAATATCTACGATCAATGTACGGACAATTACCATTACATAAAATGTGAAGGGCTATACAGAAATTTTGTACCCTATGTAAATACTGTTAAATCTTGATATTTCTTAACACAATTATATTAAAGCTGCCTGCCTCCAGATGAGCCAAAACATTTCAAGAAAATCAAACTTGAGTAAAATATACTAGAATTTTAAGAAATTGATTCAAGATTCAAGAAGTAAAAATTTACTTATTGTATGCAATTAATGACTGAGTGTGCAGCATCAATCACCTTATTTCGACTGCATGAACTGCATGACTAACGCAGTAAGGGCTATTTTTCCATATTTTGACCTCCCTTTGGTTATATAATTATGTAGATTGTAAATGCTGTTTGCAATGTGTTAATAACTTTCTTTGTTCTATACATAATATTTTACTGTTAAATTTTTTTTTCAAAATTACAAAGGATTTTAAAGAAATATTTTTTGTGTGATTTTTCTTAGATTTAAGTGAAAAGCTTTGCAATGCTTTTCATTTTTTGGTTATTTGCACAATAAAAATGATAATTCTGGAAAAATAGGGAGAGGAAATGATCTGAACATTTGCACAAACATTACTGGTCTAGACATGCATCTAATGGTACACCAATAATGGAAAAATATTTCAAGCCATATCATTTCAAAATACCTCGGTGGAGTCTCTTTTAATAGATGAAATTTGAATCAGGTTTATACATGTCAGTTGATTTTTTAGAGGTTTTGATATGTTATATCAAATTTGCTATGATTGTATTTGTGATTTTCAGCTAAACTACTTTCCAAACACTGAAGTACAGGGACCAATAGTGAAGTTTTTGAAGGATTATTTCACAGTTTATGATTCTGCAGACAGAACAGGTTTATCTGGGGCGTATCATGGAAATGCTATGTTCTCATTGTCTGTGGCTTACAATGGAGCTGTACAGTACAAGTATGTTATATAAATTTTTATGTCACGTTTGAATTTTTTGTTGTTTTTGAAACATTGTGTTTCAGCTCAACTGAGCAAAGTTCTCAGTAATGAGCTTTTGTGATGGCAATATGTCTGGTGTTCATCATCCAGCATTTGTCGTCCTCAATGTCTTTACACAACATTTCTTTAAACAACATTTTCTTAACCACAAGGTGGATTTTGAGCAAACTTCACTGGAGTCAATTTGGTTGTCCTCTACGAAAGTTTATAAATGGTTCAAGTCTAATGTTTAAGTAGACCTGTAGAGCTGAAAGTAGATTTTAAAAATGAAATTTTGGAAATATTTTCTTCAGAAACTACAATGACCAAAGTTTAGTATCATTTATCATTTAGTTTACAGAGAGTTTTTAGTTATCACATGTAAGAAGTATTTTCAGAAACAACAATGCCTAGAGCTCAAGTATTCAGTACAGAGCATCACCTTATGGTCCTATACAAAAACTATATAAATCATGCCAGTGGGGACAAAATTAGGTATATCCTTGAGGTTACTTAATTTCTATAAATGTTTTATGAATACTACTGTAGCAAATCATTATTTTTGACTTCTAATTTTGAAATATCAATGGCTTGTGTGTTAACATTAATAATTGCTCTCTTTCTTTTCAGGCAAAGTTCACTTGGAAGTTATATAGATGGGAGTAGAAACCTAATACGGCAGTTTAAAGATTCATGTAATTATCTCCTACTTAAATTTGATAAATTTCATATTGATATTTGTATGAAAACATTCATTACCCTTATGTGAATAAGAAGAGTAATATATTATGTAAATGAATTATATTTTTGCTGGTGTAATTATGGTGTTTGTGCCTGTACAGAGGGACATCTGAGGTATTCCCCCACCAGTAAAGCGGTTTTCCCCCACTAGTAAAGCGGTATTCCCCCACCAGTAAAGTGGTATTCCCCCACCAGTAAAGCAGATTTCCCCACCAGTAAAGCGGTATTCCCCCACCAGAAAAGCGGTTTTCCCCCACTAGTAAAGTGGTTTTTCCCCACCAGTAAAGCGGTTTTCCCCCACTAGTAAAGCAGTATTCCCCCACCAGTAAAGTGGTATTCCCCCACCAGTAAAGCAGTATTCCCCCACCAGTAAAGCGGTATTCCCCCACTAGTAAAGCGGTATTCCCCCACCAGTAAATTGGTATTCCCCCACCAGTAAAGCGTGTTATCGGGGCTCTGTTATCGAATGTGACGCGATTTCGTCGACAACCCTCTAAAAGTTTATTTATGATAAATTCGTTGGAAATGTCATGGTGACCTATTAATTTGTGAAAATAATTTAAACCGGCTATATATGTCATGATTGATTTTGGCGAAAGTCCCCTTTCAAAACAATAGGTCATATATAAAATCACGTGCTGATTTGGAATAGGCCATTCTTCTGCTATATTGTACATATTTCTAAATTTAGCGAAAGACTTGTACGCAGTGATATAAGCTAAGTTGGTGTTAGCTGCGATCCCATTGCGAAGAAGCTGTCCAGCTCTTGATTGAAGATATTCCAAAGAAAACCCAGGACCGGACATGGGTTTAAATCTGCCTGGGGTGCCAACTCCCGAAACTTGGTTAACTGAAAGCGAGAAAGAGCATCGCAAATTCCATTAAAACGGCCCGGTACATGGTTAGCTTTAATAATAATGTTAAGATTAAGACACCTTAATGCTAGACACCTGACCAGACACATAACTTGCTCTGACTTCGATGATAACTTATTTATTATCTGAACTACTGCCATATTATCGCAGTTAAATCTGATTTTTTTGTTAACTAATTCTGAGCCCCAAATATATAACGCAACCAATATAGGAAATAATTCTAAAACTGTTATATCTCAAAATCTGATGTAAATCCGCTGGTGTGCCATGACTGAGGCCACTTATCGTGACACCAGTGACCTTTGAAATATAACCCAAAACCCAGGTCTTGCCCCCCTGCACTGTGACATCTTCGTTAGTTATCCAGAATCTGTCATGAAATACAGATATACCATTAAAATTCTTAAGAAAATATAACCACATTTCTAAGTCTAAGCGAATATCTTTGTTTATCCTTATGTGATGATATTTTTTTGTAAGACCGCAAATTGCATTTATTAAACGGCGAATAAATGGCCTACCGACTATTATAGCCCTACAACAAAAATTCAATGAGCCTATAAGTGATTGCATCTTGTTTAAAGTTGTTTTTTTATTAGCTAAAATTTCCTGTATTTTTAATATAACCTCATTAATTTCGGACTTTGGGATACTGACAGTCATTTGATCAGAATTGAGTTCAAGCCCGAGATATACTAAAACTTCCGACGGGCCTTCAGTTTTTTCATGTGCTATGGGAACCCCCAATTCAGCTAGAACTTCTTTAAAATGGCTAAGATTTTGAATGCATAAATCTGACGTTTTATTTCCACCTAAAAAGTCATCTAAATAATGTATTAATTTGCCCAACTTCATTTTTAATTTAACACAGAATTCTAAAAACCTAGCAAATCGTTCGAAAGTAATGCAGCTTATAGATGCACCGAAGGGAAGAGCCTTATCAAAATAATATTTCTTGTTGAATGAAAACCCCAGCAATTCAAAATCGGAAGGCTTCACTGGTATTAATCTATATGCGCTTTTTACGTCAGATTTAAATAGTTTACAGTTAGGCCCCAATTCTTGCACCAACTTGACAGCTTCGTCAAAACTTGTGTATTGAACCGTGCAGAGTGTTGGGTCGATAAAATCATTGATTGATTCACCAGAGGGATATGACAAATGGTGAATCATTCTGTATTCGCCCGGAGTTTTTTTAGGAACGAGACCAATAGGGGAGATAACAAAGTTCGAAAATGGGCATTGCGTAAATGGACCTGCTACCCTGCCTGCATTGACTTCTTTATTTATTTGCGATTGAACTATGTCTGGATTTAATGCTGTCGAGCGTAAATTTTTTGAGTCCCGTGGTACTCTAGGCCCTGAATACTGAATAGAGAACCCGTGCAAAAAAACATTAATTAAAAAGTTAGATTCATTTTCGTCATAAAAAGAACAATAATATTTTAGACGTTCTACATTGACTGGCGATTTCGCTATATTCGAAATATTAAAATGTCCCACAACTTCTGGTACTGGGATTGGCAAATTATTTAAATTGTTGACCCCTTGCACCACCCCTGAAGTATTTACCAGCTGGTTTGGCTCGAAAAACAGGCTGGGGTTTCGACGATTGAGAGTTCGTCAACGGCGAAAAATTGTTGCATTGGATCTCAGGGTGGACCCCATTACATTTAGAACAATGATGAGAAAATCTGCAATTTTGCCATGTGCATGAACCTTTATTATAATCATTGCACGTGTATCTGCGGGCATTAGACATAAGAGTTTGAGCATCCCTCACTTGCATGCAACGCCACCAAAGATCGTTATTAATTTGTGACCAGCTTTGTGGTGATAACACTTGGCGGAGCCGAAATTGTTCATCGTATGTTCGCCAGGCCGCATCGCCTTGCCGTAAAGCACATTCCCGAATATTAAAGAGATAATGAAGCATTTCCTGTACTTTGTGCGGATGATTTTGAAGACAGATTGAGATATAAATGATAAATGCATTAGTCCATTTTTCTATGGACATGATTTTCTCTTTACATTCCTTATTTCCAGTTTCAATTTGCCCGTCAGCATTTAATTTGAGAATACTTCCGTTGCAAAAATCGGAAAGTTCAACGGCGCCTTTTAGCAGCAGAGACAAGTTTATGTATTCGCCTGTACAAATTTGTTGTTTAAGCGATGACGGGACATGAGCGGCTAAATCGTCACTTGCTAAGCGCACCAACTGGGAAGAGCTTGGCGCATTTACATTTTGTATTAATGAATGCATGAAATTTTGGTTCGACTCCGGCGATCGTGAAGACAAGTTACGATCCTTAGAGCAGCCACACCCCAATTGAACATTTTCATTAGAAACCGACCGTTTATTTTTATTTGGAGGAATGAAACCCGAATCTAGAATAATTCTTTCAAAATCAATTAAATTTGACCCACCGGCGTTATCCTGCAGGAACCTGCTATCTTCTCCACCAATATCCTCTGACTCTGGCCTCGAGCCATGTGCCACCAAGTGCTCCGTGTCTCCAACACAAGCTTCCTCTGCGCTGCGTTTTCGCCCCCTTACAGTTGGCGGATCATTTCGTTGGCGTTCGTCACTGACTGCTCTACCCTGAGTCGCCATTAGACCTTGTCCCGCACCTCTCCGCATGCCTCTACCTCGTGGCATATTTAATAATTACAAGTTTTAAAGTTTCCACTTTTCAAGCTTGTTGCGTCGTCGACTAAAACTAGCTAACTGAGGGCGTTTGCTGCTTTACTACTTGAGACCGTTTCCTTAACACGCATACGTAAAATGCGATCATTTTAACGGGAACCAAACGTATGAATGAAGCGGAATGTGTATATAAAAAACGGAAAGATCACATGGGTATTTCTCAAGCTAAATAAATGAAATTATTTTTATACAAAAATAATCTATATTAATTTCTTAGAAACCCCGCTGGCAAATAGGTGATCAATAAAACAATAACCCTCTGGCAGCTAAAGGGTTAAAGTATAAGATCGTCATATGGAATGTTTCTTGTAATATTTTTCATTGCTCAGACTATATGATATATGCTTGTACTTTCAGCGAAGAAGCACAAGTTATTAAAGAAGGGGAGTATGATAATTCCACAGCTATGTTTGTTACCAAAGACACTTCATGATCCTAACACATTTAATGTGGACTGTAACTTAAGCTCAGTAAGTGTTGAGAAAATAAAAACATTGTAATTATCACACCATATAATGTTTTGTTTTGTTATGTGGAGAGAATATTCATGGTATGTAGATAAAGTAACGAAGTACATGTGTAAATCATGTACTCAACAAAATTGGATCACATCTTACAAACTGTTGTGCATTTAGTTCTGTTTTATATATTTTTTGGCTATATTAGGATTGTTCATCTTTTTAGATCTAACATTCGTTGAAGAAGTTAGATACTTCTTACGCCTCTGTAAATGCTTAATATCCACCCTGATGGGACATTATTAAATACTGAGTCAGAAAATTTTACTTTTTGCTTTGTTAAACTTCCTTTTCAGGTCTGTTACAATTTCAGAATTTTTTTAAGTCATGCATTCCTTTCCTCATATAGAGACATAATAGTTATTTCTTTCTCAGATTTCTTTTGTAAGTTTTTTTATAGTAACGTAACTGGTCCCTTATTCAAGCTTGTTGCTACTAGCAAGACAATCAGTAAGTCACTGGTTCATGTAGAATGTTTTATTAATGTAGAATGTTTTATTGACAATTTTAATTCATGTTTGTTGTACAGTGGTTTATGTGGCATTGTTTTTCAGTCAACCATGATGAGTTTTACAGTACAAGGCGTGTTCAAGGAGGTGGAGTCCAAGCAGGATAAACAGCCAATCAGAGCTTTCAGTAGAACGTTTGTCACTGTCCCAGGTGGTAGCAGGTAACTCTACCATTTTATTATATTTTATGTGCTCTGATGGTAAAGTTTGGGAATGTCTTGAATAATAATTGTAAAGGAATTTATATATATGAAATATACAATTTGTCATTTGCTTGTTAGTATGGGAACATATCACATTGAATACTCTTATTAAGGTAGTACACCCCTAATGCACTGTCTCCACTTTGAAGAGTATTCAAATAGGCTTAAATCACTGTAAAGTGTATTGAAACTGAGGGGGCGTGGGTTCAAACCCCAGAAGGGGCAATTTTTTTTCTTTCTTTTTTTTCTTTTTAACATTTTTAGCTCGACTTTTCTATGAAAAGGGGAGCTATCCTACTCGCCCCGGCGTCGGCGTCGGCGTTGGCGTCACACCTTGGTTAAGTTTTTCGTACCACCCCACTTTATTTCAGAAGTATTACAAGTATGGCTTTGAAACTTACCATACTTGTTCACCATCATAACCTCCATCTACAGACAAGAGTACATAACTCTGTCAAGGTTTTTGACAGAATTATGGCCCTTTTTTGACTTAGAAAGTGTATTGAGCTTGGTTAAGTTTTTTGTACCACCTCACTTTATTTCAAAACCATTGGAGGTATTGCTTTGAAACTGACCATACTTGTTTACCATCACGACCTTCATCAACAGACAAGAGGACATAACTCTGTCAAGGTTTTTGACAGAATTATGCCCCTTTTTGACTTAGAAAATACATTGAATATGGGTAAAATCCACTTATTGCCTTAACCCTTTGAGATATTGCTTTGAAACTTTTAATGCTATTTCACATCATTACCCCCATCTGTACGCAAGAGAAGGTAACTCTGTCAAGGATTTGTTTTAAAAATTAAGGCCTTTTATCGACTTAGAATCTTGGTTAAGTTTTTAGTACCAGTCCACTTTTTGACTGAACTGTTTGAGATATTAATTTGAAAGTTGGAATACTTGTTTACAATCATGATTCCCAAACATGTCCAGGAGAAGGTAATTCACACAATTCAGTAAAATAATTCTTCACTAAATATCTTAATGCTCATGGCCATTGTTCACTTTAAAAATACAGAGATTCTTGTATTGCCTTTTACTGCAAAAACTTTTTTTATTGGCAAGCAATAAAAAAGTCGAGCGCGCTGTCTTACGGACAGCTCTTGTTTATTAATCTCTCAGACCCCCTATGGAAGAAAAAAGTGTTTTATTTTAATTATATAATTATTGTAGGTATTTATTTACTAAATAATGCCAAATTTAATAGCAAATATGATACCAGATATTTTCAAAGTTCGATAAAATAAAAACTAAACGGTAAAAGTATTTTATATTTTGCAAGACCAACCAATATACATTAAAGAAAATTTAGGCAAACTTTGAAAATAGCCCCTCATTTTGGAAAATTTTAGAGATATTTTAAATAAGGCTTTTTACATAGGGAAATGGTCAAATTAGTGTTAAAAGTGGGTGGGGTAGAGTTACATTTTTATACATATTAAAAACATTTCGTTTAAAAACAATCATTTTGCTTGTTTAATTTGTTACCTAAATGTCATTATTTATTTCTTAACAATGAGCAAAAGGAAAACATTTTTCATAATGATGATATTATAGATTATTTAGAGTTTCCTAATTTCTGAAAAAGTCCCTTCTAATGGCAAAGTTTTAGTTCATAAAAATGTCTATAACTCATAAACCACACGGTAAATTTTGTTTAAATTTTGCATACAGGTGGCATTTAAGGCATATAACTGTCCTATGTTGTCAAATTTACAATTCCTTATAGTGCCCATTAGGGGTGTACTACCTTAATATTTGGTTTGATATCTCCTTCATGAGCTGTAATACTGGAATAAAATGGAAATAAAATTTTATCGAGTGCATATTTTGTAAGTTTTGATGTGTTTAAATCAATGATATGTGTTTTAAATTAATGTTATGACATATTTTTTGTATCAATATATTTTTCCATTTTAGCATGTTGATTGTGAATGATATGTTAACGATAACAAATGCTTCACCAGACCAAATACAGGTAAAAAAATACGTTTTGTTAAATTGATATGATGTGTTTTCTTTATAATAACTGTTATTAAATTAAATTGTATTTAATTTTACTGTTGAATCATGGTGAATAGATTAAAAATAAAGACATTTACTGTTGTTTTGAGTGGTAGATATTTTATAAATGTACCATCAGTCTATATTAAAGGTTTGCATTTTTTGTTGGAACAATGTAAAGACTTAAGGATTTGTACCAAAGTTTTTTTGTTTTCTTTTTTAATTTTTTGAATATAGAAATCATTGTTACAGCATACAGTGAGTGTCAAGCATTTTATTTAACAAGCCTACATGTATATATTAAAAAAGTCAACTGCAAATAAAAAAAACAGACGGTCAAAAAGTCAGATAATTTTATGTTGTTGTTATATAAATCAGGTGAATATAATGGTGGTATTTTGCTACTTATTTTCTGTAATATCATACATGTGAACTCTCCTGCTAAAAGCGGGAGACTTCCACTTTCTGCAGCATTATTTTCAAAGATGTTTCTTAAAAATAAGGGTATTTTCACAAATTAAAGGAATGTCCCTCTTTTTGGTGTCAAAACTTCCTTCTTTGTTTAATGCAAATTCTAAAATCTCCCTCTTTTTGAAGAAAAATCTCCCACTTGATCATCAAAAAAAGTTTACTGTAATACATGTATGTAATATTAGTGGTGAAATTGTTTAATAAATGTTACTGTATGTAATGTTTGATTTTAGTCAGCATTTAAGACGCCAGCACCTACCCCATCATCTAGTCCAGTACCACAAACATCACCAAGTAATCCATTTGAAGGGTTAAATCTTACAGAGGTCCAAAAACAAATGATTGTTAGCTTTATGGGAGATTCTCAGATGAACTCGGAATGGTCAGCTAAGTAAGTACTATACCCTTTATGCTGAAACAAATTTGGTGTCTATCCTTAATGGTGAAACAAATTTGGTGTCTATCCTTTATGCTGAAACAAATTTGGTGTCTATCCTTTATGCTGGAACAAATTTGGTGTCTATCCTTAATGCTGAAACAAATTTGGTGTCTATCCTTTATGCTGAAACAAAATTAGTGTCTAACCTTTATGCTGAAAAAAAAATTAGTGGCTATACTATATCCTTTATGATGAAAGAAATTTGGTGTCTATACTTGATACATTAAAGTTAACTAAGTAGAGGTATAGAAAGCAATTTTGTTGGTTCCAGAACACATTATTAACTAGTTTAGTTAATTGAATTTTTTCATAATATTTCTAATGATTGTGTATTTGTTTTGTAGAGTTAATGATATTCTTTGAAAATTTTACAAATTGAAGAATTGATTAAAGACAATTAAGGTGATCAGAAAGCAATTATGATATAATGTTATTATTTAATATTGTAGATGTTTAGCAGAGAATGGTTGGGATTATGCAAAAGCCGGTCAAAATTTCCTCCAGTTACAAGTAAGAGTTTGAGATATACTTTTTAGCTCACCTGAGCATGCTCAGGGTGAGCTTTTAGGATCGATGATTGTCCGTCGTCCGTCGTCCGTCCGTCCGTCGTCCGTTCACATTTAGTTGTTAACACTCTAGCGGTCACATTTTTGCCTCAATCATCATCAAACTTGGTCAGGATGCTTATCTAGTTGATAGCTCGGATGAGTTCGAACATGGGTCATCTCGGATGAGAAACTAGGTCACAAGAGCTAAAAATAGAAAAACCTTGTTAACACTCTAGAGGTCACATTTTTGCCTCAATCATCATCAAACTTGGTCAGGATGTTTGTCTAGGTGATAGCTCGGATGAGTTCGAACATGGGTCATCTCGGATGAAAAAGTAGGTCACCGGAGCTAAAAATAGAAAAACCTTGTTAACACTCTAGCGGTCACATTTTTGCAACAATCATCATCAAACTTGGTCAAGATGCTTGTCTAGGTGATAGCTCGGATGAGTTCGAACATGGGTCATCTCGGATGAAAAAGTAGGTCACCGGAGCTAAAAATAGAAAAACCTTGTTAACACTCTAGCGGTCACATTTTTGCATCAATCATCATCAAACTTGGTCAGGATGCTTATCTAGTTGATAGCTCGGATGAGTTCGAACATGGGTCATCTCGGATGAAAAAGTAGGTCACCGGAGCTAAAAATAGAAAAACCTTGTTAACACTCTAGCGGTCACATTTTTGCATCAATCATCATCAAACTTGGTCAAGATGCTTGTCTAGGTGATAGCTCGGATGAGTTCGAACATGGGTCATCTCAGATGAAAAAGTAGGTCACCTGAGCTAAAAATAGAAAAACCTTGTTAACACTCTAGCGGTCACATTTTTGCATCAATCATCATCAAACTTGGTCAGGATGCTTATCTAGTTGATAGCTCGGATGAGTGTGAACATTGGTCATCTCGGATGAAAAAGTAGGTCACCGGAGCTAAAAATAGCAAAACCTTGTTAACACTCTAGTGGTCACATTTTTGCATCAATCATCATCAAACTTGATCAAGATGCTTGTCTAGGTGATAGCTCGGATGAGTGTGAACATTGGTCATCTCGGATGAAAAACTAGGTCACAGGAGCTAAAAATAGAAAAACCTTGTTAACACTCTAGCGGTCACAATTTTGACTCAATTGTCATCAAACTTGGTCAGGAAACTTGTCTAGGTCATTGCTGGGAAGAAATTGAACATGGGTCATCTCGGATGAAAAAGTAGGTCACCGGAGCTAAAAATAGAAAAATCTTGTTAACACTCTAGTGGCTACTGTTGTGATCCAAATATTCTGTTAATTGGTCTGAAAGTTTGTTTTGATGATTTCTAAGTCAAGTTCGAACATTGGTCATCTTGGATGAAAAAAAACTAGGTCACACCGCCCAAATATGGAAAAACCTTGTTAACATTCTAGTGGTCACATTTTCGACTCAATTATCATCAAACTTGGTCAGGATGCTTGTATAGGTAATTGCTTGGATGAGTTCGAAATCGCATGTGGAACTAGGTCACCGGAGCTAAAAATAGAAAAATCTTGTTAACACTCTAGTTGCTACTGTTTTGATCCAAGTATCCTTGAAATTAGTCTAAAAGTTTGTTTTGATGATTTCTAGGTCAAGTTTGAATATGTGTCACCTGGGTAAAAAACTAGGTCGCACTGCTCAAATATGGATAATCCTTGTTAACACTGTAGTGGTCACATTTTTGACTCACCTGTCATGAGACTTGGTCAGAATGCTTGTCTAGGTAATTGTTTGGATGAGTTTGATAAATCAGGTGAGCGATCTAGGGCCATCATGGCCCTCTTGTTATGATATTTTAAAATGTCAGAAATTTTATCTTTAAATTTATAAAATCACAATGTCATCATGTCTTTTACATGTAATGAATACCCTGTTGTTGGTTTTTTCTTATTGTTTAATAAAAATAACGAAAATAACTTCAAGAACTATTTTTTAAACATAAATGTTTATTGAGAAAATACTGGCGTTCAATCACAGAAGAACCATCATCTATTTCAGAGTGAAGGAAAGATTCCTGCAGAAGCATTTAAGAAGTGAAAGTGGAAATAATTTGGAAAGTGTGAACTATATGAGAGACACAGTGTTAGACAAACTGTATTGATAATCTATCTTGTAGCAGAAATCAATGGTGATTGAATTGTATCAAAATAACATTTTCATTTTATTATTTTAATCAGTGAGAAAATAGATGCAACTTCATGGTATTTTGCATGTAACATTATGTAAATGTTTTAAATTTTATATTGGGTTTCCTTTTATTTTTTAAAATGGAGTTTAGTTCAAATTTTGAAGCATACATGAAAAATAGTAATGTGCACCAACTTTGTAAATCAGCATGTGTTGAAATTTTAATCATGGACACTCAAATTACAAGGAATCTGAAATGCATTTTATTTTAAACAAATGTTTTATGACCAGGACCATTTTTACAAGTGTTTCAAGCTAATGTAGCTGTAAGCTTTGCCAATAATTATACAATAAATGTTTGATCATGTAAAATATATTGTTCATCTATTGTGGTGCATTATTTGTATTGAGCATACATTGGTATATATAGGTTCAAATGTCATTGTCAGTCATCTTTCTTCAAACTCTTTAAACATTACAAGTTGTAACTATGGACTTTCATATTATACAGCATAGCATGAATGGAGCAGAAAATGCTTGGATTTGTGACTGGAAAACATGGTTTATTGTTTGAAGGTGATATACAAGGGCTGTTTTGGCTTTTATATTGAAGATTTTTGAGGTACATCAATGCCATCTACTATGATACTGAATGATTTATTACTTATGTTATAGATAATACTATTTAGATTAATTCAACATCAAGTAATGTTTTGGTATGAAATGAATAAACTTGTTGATATAAAATAAGTACTAGTTGTATCATGATTGTTAAGTACAGGGATCAGATATTGTAAATAGCTGAATTTAATGTGTTTTGTGCAAAGTCATTGTACATCTCAAAATTCTTTTGTACATAGCATTGTTTTTATATGTTCAGTATTTTGTATATAATTTGTGCTATTAATTGTTTTTGATGACATGTTACCATTATCTTGACTAAAAATTGTCATAAAAGTATTTTAGATATGAACTTTGTCTTCTTTCTTCTTTTAGAAACCTTGTCGGAGCAACTTTTCCATCTTTCCTAAATCTCATACAGCGAAGAGTACTGTTGAAAATGTTGTTCATCAAAAATGATAAATTGTCAAAGAACTTTAAACTTAAACGCTTTAGTATATAATGTTCTTGAAGGGTTTGCTAAAAAATTACATTTAGATATTATAGACACTTGCTAGAGTAAATGAAATCTAGGTACTTTATTGGCTGGAATGATCTAGAAAAGTATGTGACTTATCTTTATAAAACTAATCTAGAAAAAGTATATAGAAAGCTGTCCTACTAGAAAAAGTATAAAGAAAGCTGTCCTACTAGAAAAAGTATAAAAAAACTGTATTACTAGAAAAGTATACGGAAAGCTGTCTTTCAAAAAAAAATATATATAGAAAGCTGTCTTACTAGAAAAAAGTATATTGAAAGCTGTCTTACTAGAAAAAAGTATATGGAAAGCTGTCTTACTAGAAAACAGTATATGGAAAACTGTCTTACTAGAAAAAAGTATATTGAAAGCTGTCTTACTAGAAAAAAGTATATTGAAAGCTGTCTTACTAGAAAAAAGTATATGGAAAGCTGTCTTACTAGAAAACAGTATATGGAAAACTGTCTTACTAGAAAAAGTATATGGAAAGCTGTCTTACTAGAAAAAGTATATGGAAAGCTGTCTTACTAGAAAAAGTATATGGAAAGCTGTCTTACTAGAAAAAGTATATGGAAAGCTGTCTTACTAGAAAAAGTATATGGAAAGCTGTTTACTAGAAAAAGTATATGGAAAGCTGTTTACTAGAAAAAGTATATGGAAAGCTGTTTACTAGAAAAAGTATATGGAAAGCTGTTTACTAGAAAAAGTATAGGAAAAGCTGTTTACTAGAAAAAGTATATGGAAAGCTGTTTACTAGACAAAGTATATGGAAAGCTGTCTTACTAGAAAAAGTATATGGAAAGTTGTTTACTAGACAAAGTATATGGAAAGCTGTTTACTAGAAAAAGTATATGGAAAGCTGTTTACTAGAAAAAGTATATGGAAAGCTGTCTTACTAGAAAAAGTATATGGAAAGCTGTCTTACTAGAAAAAGTATATAGAAAGCTGTCCTACTAGAAAAATATATGGAAAGCTGTCTTACTAGAAAAAGTATATGGAAAGCTGTCTTACTAGAAAAATATATGGAAAGCTGTTTACTAGAAAAAGTATATTGAAAGCTGTCTTACTAGAAAAAAGTATATGGAAAGCTGTCTTACTAGAAAAAGTATATGGAAAGCTGTCTTACTAGAAAAAGTATAGGAAAAGCTGTTTACTAGAAAAAATATAGGAAAAGCTGTCTTACTAGTAAAAGTATAGGAAAAGCTGTTTACTAGAAAAAGCTTAGGAAAAGCTGTCTTACTAGAAAAAGTATAGGAAAAGCTGTTTACTAGAAAAAGTTTAGGAAAAGCTGTCTTACTAGTAAAAGTATAGGAAAAGCTGTTTACTAGAAAAAGTTTAGGAAAAGCTGTCATCAACCCATCCTCATCTAGATTTTGGTTAAAGCTTTTGTGAGTACTAGAACTTCTATATTTTTTAATGGAGAGTAACTTTAAACTTCAAATATATATTCCTTATCACCACCAACATTATATGTGATAATGTTCATAACTCTAGCACCATATAATACCAATTTTTTAAATAACTGGACTGGTAACTACATTGTATGAATTTACTACATGTATGATCCTAATTAACACCCATATCATTACATCATATATGATCGGTTTATAACTTGAGCATGGGATAGGTCTGTACATATCTAGGTATGTCACTTCTTCCTTGTCTGATCAATGAAGTTCTTGAGATGGAATAAGTCACAGTTTATGTACTTTCGTAGTGGCATTGCCCATAGCCAGTAGATAACCCCTATTGATTTTTGAGGTCATAAGGTCAATGTTCACCATGGCCTTGACCACTTAAAGTTTGTCCAACTAATAACAAGAGAACACTGTTCAATGGTCATAAAATTTAGTATGAAGGTTGGTCAATACTTGTAGATGATCCTTATTATCCCCCGCCGAAAAATTTCGGCGGAGGATATAGAAATAGTCTCCGTCCGTCCGACCTTCCGTCCTTCCGTCCGTCCTTCCGTCCGACATTTTTGTCCGGAGCATATCTCTAAAAGTATTTGAGGTATCAACTTGAAACTTCATAGGTGGATAGACCTCATTGAGGAGGAGTGCAGTGCACAAGAATGATAACTCTACCTTGCATGATTTTTGAGTTATTGCCCTTTGTTATTTTTCAAAATTGATTTTTGTCCAGAGCATAACTCCAAAAGCTTATGAGATATTAACATGAAACTTCATAGGTGCATAGATCTCACTCAGGAGGTGTGCAGTGCACAAGAATGATAACTCTACCTTTCATAATTTTTGAGTTATTGCCCTTTGTTATTTTTCATACCTAATTTTTCACCTGAGTGGAGCATAACTCGAAAAGTGTTTGAGATATCAACATGAAATGTCATAGGTGGATAGATCTTATTGAGGAGGAGTGTTGTGTGCAAGAATGATAACTCTTCCCTATACAATTTTTGAGTTGTTGCCCTTTGTTTTTTTTATGTTATTTTGTCCAGAGCTTATCTCAAAAAGTATTTGAGGTATCAACTTGAAACTTCAAAGGTGGATGGATCTCATTGAGGAGGAGTGCAGGGCTTAAGAATGATAACTCTACCCTGCATTATTTTTGAGTTATTGTCCTTTGTTATTTTTCAAAATTAATTTTTGTCCAGAGCATAACTCAAAAAGCCTTTGAGATATCAAAATGAAACTTCATAGGTGCATAGATCTCACTCAGGAGGTGTGCACTGCACAAGAATGATAACTCTACCTTTTATAATTTTTGAGTTATTGCCCTTTGTTCTTTTTCATATTTAATTTTTCAATTCAATTTTTTTTCTCAAAAAGTATTAATTTTGAGGTATCAACTTGAAACTTCATAGGTGGATAGATTTTACTGAGGAGGGATGCAGCACACAAGAATGATAACCTACCCTGCATTATTTTTCAGTAATTGCCTTTGTTATTTTCAGCCATCAGTATTCACATAGGTTTCAAATCTGTAATCATTATAGCCATCAGTTTTCATTACCAAAAGACCTCTTAAAATGGAATTATTCCGCTCTACTACATATACATTCTTCCAATGAGCAAACACATTCGGCGGGGGATGGCCATGTTGACATGGCTCTTGTTGATTTGATGTCAGAAGGTCACTATGGCCTTGACCACATAAACCTTGTCCAACCATTAAGAAGAGAATGATTTGGGCAGCAGTGCTAAATTAAATATGTTGATGACCTCTATTGATTTTGAGGTCAAAGGTCAATTCATTTCGGCCTTGTCCTATGAATGCTTGTTAGTAACTAAGAAATACTTTACTCTGCAGTCCTAGTACAACCCCTATTTGGTTGTTAATGTCTCTGATTTTAAGGCCATAAAGTGAAGGTCACAGTGACACATGAAATAGTTGTCTAATGAAGAGCAAGTTTTCTCAGTCATAAGTTTGAAATTTATTAGTTAAAATAATATAATATATACATATTTGTGTACTATGTATTTATGTAACGTATGGCAAAAGTGCTTTGGTATGTAGGCCTACGTATGCCACTCGTGGCTCATAACTCTGCATCTGTATTTTAAGTTGCCTCTTTAAACTAAGAATTTTGATTTAAAATGTTATCGTCCTTGTTACTTAAGGGGTTTACTTTAGATTCAAGATACATTCGTCTTTTTGATTACAACACAGAAATATGTTGACATTTTTACTCTCATTGATATAAATGTTATCTGGTGCAAAGAAATTTAACATAAGTGGGTTTTTTTCATGGTATTGATAAACAGATGTAAATATTAAAATTGGTATCATTATAAGTTTGTGTAAGTAGAATGGATTAATATGAAAAGTAAAATGCTTGATGTTTGCAAATTTCAATTATTTTGACCATGAATGAAAGGTATCACCACCACAGATTAAGATTTGTAACATTTTTTTCTATGAGCTTTTATAATGGCATGTTGTCAATAATCCATCATGATTCACATTAACACTGAACAAAATCTAACCTAGTTTCTACAAAAATTATGGAAATGGTTTGAGTATGATGATCACTGGAGCTAATATAAATTAAATATCTAACATTTCAAAAACTATAATGCCAAGAGCTAAGGTGTTTTGGCATATAATATCAAGTGTTGTTTTAGAGGTTACTGGTTGGTCCTGTATGAAAGTTACATTAATCATACCAATGTTAGTCCTTACTTTACATAGCTTAATACAGGAAAACAGGTTTAAGCTTTTGGTGTGAAACAAGTGCCAAGAGCTTGGTTATCTAACATGAAGCAATGGACCTCTGAAAAAGGTATATAAATCTACCCCAAGGTCAAAAAATTGATGGGGCCTCTTGGCTTACATAGACATAAAAAATCAACTCCATAGAAACTATAATGCCTTCAACATAAGGTCATGTCGCATCTATTAAATCCCCTTTTGATCCTCATTGAAAGATATTTACAGTCGAAATTTGCCCTGCACTGAAGTAACTTTAGTTATTACATTGATTTGATATTGAATTTAAAATAAACCTATAGTGCTTAGATCCGAGTTATTTGGGTAGTAGCAAATTCATGTTTTAAACAAAGTGAGGTAAATCCTGCCCCAAATTGGCTTCACACCACGGCCCAGTGCCTGTGTAAAATTCATTGCACCATCTTATCATAAAAATGTATGACAAGTGGAACAGTCAATTACATCAAGGGAGAGACAAACAACACAACTATGCATTTCTAAAAATAGTTTATTCCCACAAATGGTAAATGTATCACATGGAATCAATGGATAAGAATTAATATACAATCTTTAAAAACAATATTGTAAACAGAAATATACAGAAAACATTCAAGCCTGGTAAAAGTTACCAAATTAATATCAAATATAATCTATTTTTATACATACACATTAATACGAAATTTAACAATTTAAACATCAATAATTGTTATACTGAAAGGACGAAAAGTTTACAATACTGGAAACAAGAGCATCAAAGTAAAGAAAATTCCAATGCTTTTGTAAGAATTTCTCATAAGTTGGACTTATAAATAATATATTATACATACAATGTAATTCATAAATGGAAAAAAGAACCCACCCTATTATGTTGACATCTTAACTCTTTTACATCCAGTAATGTGATTGTATGATTATAGTGTATTTGCCATTGACCCCAAAGCACTCACCTGAAGACATCCTATTATTTGTGTAAGGGCCAATTGTAACAATAGGGGCAAACTTTGAACAACTATGATAGAGGACCTATAGCTTATATTATGTACCAAATACCTAAAGAACTAAGCCTTGTACCTTCAGACAAGAAGTTATTAATGTTTTGACACTAGGGACAAAATATGAAACAACTTTGATAGAGGACCTAAAGATGATATCATATACCAAATATCATAGCTATGGGCCTTGTACTTTTAAGTTTGCATTTTTAAACTCCTTTTCTGGCCTTGTGACCTACATATGCAATAGACCAGAACCATTTGAACAACTTTGGGAGGGGACCACCTAAGGATCATTCCTGTAAATTTTGATTACTGTGCAGTCATTGGTTTCAGAGAAGATGTTGTTTAAATTGTTGACGACGCACAACAACAGACGGTGCTCACCATGAGCAAGTTGTAAGATGTAAGAGTTGATATAAAGCATAAATTAAGTCTGAAGTAAATCCTTTAAGAAATAAAAAAGTAAGAGTAAAAAATATTTTCTAAAAAATCTAAGTTCAAGGAGACATAATTCTAGTAATAGTCATGCCAGAGTAACAAATCTCCTCACATATGTAAATAACATTATTACATATTGTAAATATTAGTTTACAGACATAACATTGGTTTTTACAACCAGCTGTAAAAGAGAGAGAGAAATGTTGATTTAGAAAAAGTTTACAGTAAACAAGTGGTAATCAGCAAGTGACAACAAATATGTGTGCTTTGCTATAGGCAGCTGAGAAAAACACCAGTAGAAAACAGATTAGTGTTTTCTTTGTCTAAATTATATAAAAAATATGTACTTTAACATTTCTAAAGAATTGTAAACAGATCATCACCTTTTGCAAGTAAAAAAATATATACAAATTTCATCACTATACACAAAATTATCGTGGAAGCATTATCATTTATTTGATGGGATTTGTTTCAACAACTTAATAAACTATTTATAAACACAAAAATACTCTAATAATACAATATTGAATACTTAAAAAAAATACAAGTTTATATAAAGAATAATTATTCTTGAAAACAAGAGCTGTCAGTGGGACAACATGCTTGACTATTCTCAGTGCTTCATTGTAAAACAAGAGCCTGAATAATATATTCTTGCTTATCAGATAGGATCATCTACTGTTTACACCAGCCCTAGAAAAAACTTGTCTTATACCCCCCTGTGTAAGACAAGTCACATGCCTTAAATGATATCTTTCACAAGCGCCTTTTATGAATGAATTGCGTTCTTAGGATGACATCATTTGCCATTATGATGAAGTTGTAAATTCAAACGCTGCTATAAACAATTTAACTAAGGTGTGCCAGCAATCAATATTCCTCAAATAGTCTAGCTAAACAACATAACAACTCGATGTTGTGAACATCATATACAATTTATCGTGTCATCATCATTAACAAGTGAAATATTTTTAATTGATGTTCACAAATAGATTTCCATTGATTTGACCGCCTAACATTTCAATAGCAAAATATATACCTAAGTTTACAAATAGGTGCATCAATCCATAAAGAAACACATTTTTTTCTAAATGCAAGGCATAATAGAAATACAACTCCTTAAAAATTGGATAGCATAAAAATGATGTATTTGTGAACAAAAAGAACACTTTTTCAGAAAAAACAAATATGTACAATAAATGATAACCCTTAAATCCCTTGCAATATTATCATACAAATATACCAAGTTTTACATATGCAGTGTCTATTCTAGGAGGGGGGATGGGGGATTCATCCATATTTTTGAGTATTCCCTCCTACTTTTTTCAGAGGCAGGGGGGAAATTTTACATAGAGAAAGAAGGAAAAAAATCAACAAATGTAATAAATTCTCACTTTTTGACAAAAATCCCCCGTTTTTCAAATCCTAGAATAGACACTGCATATGACACATAACCTACATAAATTAATCAGGCAGTGAAAGAGCTTTGGTCATGATAACTTTAAGGTGTATAATGGATTCAACAAAAATTACATATAAGAACAATACATAGCAGTGCTCAATCTCCAAGTTGATTTGTTGTTCGTCTCTCATACTTTACATTAATGGAATACAAGCTGGTGTGCAAAAAACTGAACACAGACTTGTTCATAAATATTGCCCAAACATGTTGTAAAGAAAGAAAGATAACAACTGTTTGACAAAATGAGTATAAATTTACATTATATCAACAACCAGCTATGAAAAATGTGAAAATAAAATAAAAATATAACAAATTATAAATTGAAAGGCAAAATCTCCTGATGTACTGAAAAGTAAGTTTGATAAAGGGTACATGTAAAAGACAACACAGATACACAGGGGTAACCTTATTTTCTCTGTTATTGTAAATAATAACATTTTAACACAAGTGGAACATCTGTCTCAATCATAAACTTTGTTTGGTTCACTTTCAACATCTGACCACCCAAACCCCTCCCACCACCAAGTGTCTGTGATTGATGAAAAAAGTCAAAACTTAAGTTTTCATGTGATATTACTAAAAAAAAGTCAATACTAGTACTTAAAAATTAATACCATACTTCAGGAACTTTGGAAATGCTATGTAAGTTTAAATTCAAAGTCTTTCTGAATTACAAAAAATAATCATTTTAAATATGTCACAGAGCATATAATAAAACCTTAAATAGATTAATATAATGTCATGATACTTCTAATAATAGAATGGTATGATACCCAGAGATAAAACTAATTTCCCACAGTATTTAACAACATACAAAATAATCAAACAAGAAATACTTCTAGATCTATTAAATATGTTACTCGAGATGGCAGATATATTGACAATCATGTATGTAAAAACTACATTGACTAGCATCACATCATGATTCCTTAAAGGAATATTTGAGCTTATAGTCCAGACCATCTATGTACATCAATACTTCATTTAAAAGCATTCTCAAAAGTAAACAACCTAAAGTATGATAAATATTTAGACTCCAAAGAAAAAAGATTTCTTTTCAAAATCTTGAATCACTTGTAATTGATCAGACAGTTTCTATATTTGAACAGGTGTTATCTAACAAGGCCAACTTGAGCAAGTAATTGGAATGCAGCACCGAGACCCCAGCTAACTTCTACAGCATTGATCTTCTTTTTCAACTGAAATATATCAGAAAATTTAGATGCATATTTTCAACACTTTTATGAGCATAATTTCATGTCTAAGACAATCTCTTTACACAAAATAGAACAACTTAGTTTAGACATTGTAAAACCTTACACAAGAATAGACACATTTCTCTATAATTATTATCCCCTTCTCTTTTTGCAGATATCAATTCCATCAAATAATTTGGAAATAAATTATAATCTGAGCCTGGTTCAATATGTTTTTGTAAAAAATATTCAATTAGTATATATATAAGCTTTAAAACCCTTTTAAAGGCCTTTTTCCCAAAAAGATAATAACTAGTTAAATAAGGTTGTTTCTCTTAAATTTGAAAATTTTCAAACCCAAAGTAAAAAAGGTTTTCTTTTTTTTCTGAACTGGTAAACAGTTTTAAGCTCCTTATATACCAAAACACATATAAAATAGAATATAAAAGATTTACATGTATTTGTGTAGAATCTGATATATTGTAGCCATCATGTAGTAGTGAATAAATATATGTCAGATCTAACGCCTGGAATGGCATCTTCACGTTTGGAGATTTGAATGCTGAAATAATAAGAATATCAAATAAACTTGCCATTACTTATATACACTGGAAGGTGTCTGTACTATATTTGAAGAATTATATTCACACTGTAAAATTAACAGAATCATTCAACAATAGTTGTTTGCAGTGATTTAAATATTTCTATTGTACCGTTATATTTTACAAATTGTAGAATAAATACATAGAAATGTTATTAAACTGCAAATACAAGATATACCTTTAACTGCAGCTTCTTTAAAATTGCCAGTTGATATAACACCTCCTGATTTGTCTAAAATATAAAACATATAAGATAATTGCAAATATCTTGAAATTAGTTTGAAACCATTCAAAATATCAACAATAATTCTTATCTGATATCAATGTTCTAGTAGATTTAGGAACAGATGCCTCACAAAATCCATCATCTAAGCAAAATTAATGGCAAAACCATGATATTTTTTTTTATATATCAAGAAATCATTGTTCTAAGAAACTCATACAATTATCTTCCACTTAATATGTTTTAAACCATTCAAATAATTGAAGATAGGGTTATACCTATGAGATTGGCCTCTACTGCTCTGTCAAAGAAATAAGAGAAGAGGTATAGATCATTTCCAGACAGCTCTGCCACTGGTCTGATCTGATCAACTATTAATTTCTTCATCTCTTTATCACATTCCTCGTATGAAAACTGACTTGATGATGTTCCCCTGTAGTAGAAATGTTTTCTAGATTTGTATACATGTATTATGGTATTTCACTTAGTAGAAATTATTCTTTTTTTTTATGGAGAGGGGGGGGGGGGGGGGTTTACGTCACACCAACACTGTAAAGATCATATTGTGACTTTCAAGCTTTACTGGTGGATAAAGACCTAAAAATTCTCTTCTTGCATTTCAGGCATGAGCCAGAACCTAGCTCCATTACATGAAAAAATTCATAGTCTCTTCCAGGATTCGAAGTCAACAACCTTAACCATGACTGGATATGGGTATAAAAGTAGTCAACTTCATTATTGTAGTTTCACAAATGAGACTTAAATGTACCTTCCTATACAAGTCTATGCAAAAAAAAGAAACCAATAACAGTTTCTATAATGAACTATATGAATTTGCGAGTAAAATGATTTTGCAAAACAATACAAATAACACCCCATCTTACACCAATGAAAAGTTTGTGTTCTTAGCTTCATATCAATATAAACTTCAACATATCTTTTGACATCAAAGGTACTAGCTTACCACATATCAGCAATTTAAGATGGGATTTATAAAGCAAGATATGCAGCCACTTATCTTTACTCAAAATAGTATACAACTGATAAGTATAGCCTGTCGTCTGCTATTTCGGGAACTGTTTATTGGTGTAATTTGTACAGTGTCAGCTAAAGTTCATTGCTGTGAAATTGGGTCAAAACCCACCAAATGATTAAGGAGAAGATATTGTTTAAAAGAAATTGTGGATAACAACTGACGACCAACAATGGATGTAGAACCGATGCCATCACAAAAGCTCAGTTGTAAGCACTTTGTGCTCAGGTGAGCTAAAAAAAGCTCCACTTATAGCTGATACTTATTCATCTTATAACGTAAGCTGTTTGAAGGAAAAAAAAATCATACTACATTGTAGTTCAATTTCTAAAATTGTATTTTCAGACTATCTTAAAATATAGACTGACCTGAGTTGATAAACGTTACCAGAATGTGTATAGTTTCCCATGTACCCTGGAGGTATACAAACACTGGTTAGATAAAAACTACCAGGACTGTCATCTGAAATATATGTATAAACTTATCATACATCTGGTTGTCATTGTGAAATTATTTCTGTCTTAATCTTCGTCCTGAATAAACCATAATTAACATTATTATTGTTAACAATAATTAAACTATTTTGTGAGAACTTCAACACAATATTTATCACATTTTATTTATCTGGTCAATACACACAACAAAACATATGACATTCACTATATCAATACTATTATAATACCACACAATGAGTACAACTCAACTTCAAAATTTATAACTTACACTTGTAAATATTTATCAAAATAGATGTTATCCGGAACTTGGCAAATGTGGTTTTTCCCCAACTAATCCATAGGTACAAACCAACTTTTACCATTATAGCTTCATGGTGCACTACTTGTCACAATAAATAAGTCAACCTGTTTCACTTATTATACCCCCAAAAACAAAGTTTGGGGGGTATATAGGAGTCACCCGGTGGTCGGTCGGTCGGTCCAGACGTCCGTTGCATTTTCCTTGTCCGGAGCATAACTTGAAGACTAATGGTTGGAATTCAATATAACTACATACAATGGTCAAGCACATTGAGAGGAAGTGCAGTGCACAAGAACCATAACTCTATCTTGACTAATTACAGAGTTATTGCCCTTTGTTACTTTTCCTTGTCCGGGGCATAACTTGAAAACTACTGGTTGGAATTCAAAACAACATTTATACAATTGTCAAACACAATAAGGGGAAGTGCAGTGCACAAGAACCATAACTCTATCTAAAGTAATTACAGAGTTATTGCCCTTTGTAACTTTTCCATTGCTTTCTTTTGTCCGGATCATAACTTGAATACTAATGGTTGGAATTCAATATAACTACATACAATGGTCAAGCACATTGAGAGGAAGTGCAGTGCACAAGAACCATAACTCTATCTTGACTAATTACAGAGTTATTGCCATTTGTTCCTTTTCCTTCTCAGGGGCATAACTTGAAAACAACTGGTTGGAATTCAAAAAAAACTTCATACAATTGTCAAACACAATAAGGGGAAGTGCAGTGCACAAGAACCATAACTCTATCTAAAGTAATTACAGAGTTATTGCCCTTTTTTACTTTTCCATTGCTTTCTTTTGTCCGGACTATAACTTTAAGACTAATTGTTGGAATTCATTATAACTTCATACAATGGTCATTGAGAGGAAGGGCAGTGCACAAGAACCATAACTCCATCTTGACTTATTACAGAGTTACTGCCCTTTGTTACTTTTCCTTGTCCAGAGCATGACTTGAAAACTACTAGCAACTTCATACAATGGTCAAGCACAATAAGGGGAAGTGCAGTGCACAAGAACCATAACTCCATCTTGACTAATTACAGAGTTATTGCCCTTTGTTACTTTTCTATTGCTTTTTTTGTCCGGAGCATAACTTGAAGACTAATGATTGGAATTCAATATAACTTCATACAATGGTCAAGCACATCGAGAGGAAGTGCAGTGCACAAGAACCATAACTCCATCTTGACTAATTACAGAGTAATTGCCCTTTGTTACTTTCCCTGTCCAGAGCATAATTTGAAAACTACTGTTTGGAATTCAATACAACTTCATACAGTTGTCAAGGACATTAAAAGGAAGTGCAGTGCACAAGAGCCATAACTCTATTTTGACAAAATACAGAGTTACTGCCCTTTGATACTTTTCCTTGTCCGGACGTACTGGTTGGAATTCAAAACAACTCCATACAATGGTCAAGCACAATAAGAGGAAGTGCAGTGCACAAGAACTATAACTCCATTATCAGTATTTATAGAGTTATTGCCCTTTGTTCCTTTTCTTTGTCTTTCTGGACTTATTACAGAGTAATTCAATAAAACTTCATCAATGGCTAACCACATTGAAAGGAAATGCAACATACAAGAACCACAACTATCTTTAATTGCCCACAACCATAACTCTATATTTCAATTCTTTTACAAGGTATTCTGTTACTAGTAACATCCTCATTTCCGAAGCAGTCTTGTGGGGGTATTAATCACATTTAGTGATAGTTCTAGTTTTCGAAGCTGTAACTGTAAAAGTTTGTTAGTATCTAGGGATTACCTGGGAAAAACCCAAATATTTTTAATTCCAGAGTAAGTCTTTTCAATTCAATGAATCAGAGTACAAAAAGTGGATCAATATGGACCTATACATAAAATCTATGACCTAGCCAACAATGACCAATTGCCTGAACAGAAATGATTAAAATCTACCTTTATGTTTGTCTCCTCCAGTGAGTGTAAATCGAGCGGACATCAACCCAAAGCCAAGGTAGCTGATACAGGAAAAAATAAATACATGATTTTTTTTAAATGAACAGACATTTCTCAGATATAGTAAATGCAATTATTCCAAAGGCTGTTAAGTATGAATACCTACTTTTGTAAGATGTTTTAACAAAAAGTTTCCTAAAAGAACAAGAGCAAAACAATGACCAGAAGTTGTTAAAATTAATAAAAACTGCAGAAGATACTTGTCGACATCTCGAAACGATTGTATCATGATGATCAGTGAATACCTCACATTTTATTTACTAAGTAAATCAATATCTTTGTTAAGGTGGACAAACAAGGAAAATATCATATACATTGTGTATTTAAACTTTTACCTATGTGTATATAACTTGTATTCATGTCGGAACAGGTTTACAGTTTTCATAAATTCACTTGGCAAATTGTTTAATGTCTCCTGAAACAATAAACATGATACATAAACAAATACTAGTACGACTTCCAACTGAAAAATACATCATACAACAATACTACATGTTATCATATAACAACAAATCAAAATCTATACCTTGATTAATTTAAGAATCATTAATTGTTTAAGAATTATTGTAGTTTATTGATGTTTTCTTTATTTCCATGACAATGAATGGTATAATAATTCACTTTGATGTGTACAATAAACTGTTCGTAACAACCAACATTAGTTTTGTTTCCTGTGTATTAACTCTCTGATTAGGACTTGGCTTACAGTCAAGGCAACCCTATTTTCCATTAATATTTCATAATGAAATTTCTTAAAGTAAACTAAAGATGATCAGTATTAAAAAAGCAAGATAAACCCAATATACCTCAAATCTATCAGAGTAATAGTAAACAAATACACCAAATCTTTCACAGTCTCAACACATATCTTTCAGAGTATATGTACAAGTTGACCAAGTACACAAATCTATCGCAGTTTTAGTAAACCTTATACTTAAATCTATCAAGTTCTAGTATTAAACCAAACACACAAATCTAGCAGGGTTCTTGTTAACCCAATACACAAATCTATCCAGGTTCCATCAAGGAAACCCAATACTCAATCTATCAGGGCTCTTGTAAACCAAATACACAAGACGTTCAGGGTCCATGTTAAACCCAATGCACAAATCTAACTGGGTACTAGAAATTCCAATGCAGATCTAGCAGGTTTCAAAAAACATTTATAATTAAATAACTTTTCATAAGCAGAATTAAAACAAATTGGTTTATATTAAAGAAATATTTTTACACACCTGTTTAGTTGGCACAAATGTTATCTGCGTAGATCCACCTCCAAGATCTAGTGCTGGGGCAGGATGTCCACTATCAGATAATAACCCTAAATAATACAGGATTTATAGTATGATTTTCATGTCCTGCACATGACAAAGATTTACTATGAAAGTATATTTGATAAAATTTGTTCAAATCTTGTAATTCTAAAACCTCATTATTGTAGATGGATTATTGTATAAATACAATGTGTTGTGACACATAAGCATTACTTCTCCCAAATTAAAAAACGTCTCCGTATTTCTTCTGAAAGTTTCTTCCAGCTTCTCTTACGGTTTCAAGTCTATGGAAGCTACTAAAGTCACATTATGTAAATAGTTTTTAGATCATTGAATACAAATATGTAATTATTGATGCTGGTAAATGAAAATGTACCATAATTTATGTTAAGATTAAAAATTTTAAACAGCAATTCCGAAATGATCAGTTCTACATATCATTATATCACCTTACATGAACAGGTGAAAATAATAGATTTCATATATATATACACTGTATATACAAAATTTTAATGTAGATATAATATACAAACCTAGCATGAAGTTTACTGTTATCCAACTGAACACACCTTAAAGAGAATATTTATCACTAGTCACTAGTAGTAAGAATGTATTTACAACATAATTATCTAAAATACATATAAGATATAAATGTGTTTTTATGTTTTGTTTTGTTTTAAAAATAAACATTATCAATATATTATCAAAATTGAATGTAGTACTCTTGTTCATTATTTTAATAGATCGACATTTAATATAATTTAATATATTCTAATACCCCATCCATATTACCAACATTTTCTCATCTACCCCATCTATTTTATCAACATACCTTCATCTACCCCATCCATTATACCAATTCCATTGTCTACCAGCCTGAATGGAAATTTCTTCAGATAGGCTGTCACCTGAAATATTTAGATCTAGACAAGTAAAATATTAATATTTAAGTGTGACAAAACCAAAGGATTTACATGCACTATCTGCTAAATCACAAGAATACATACTACATGAGAAGTTATTCTGTTTCAAAGATATTTCCAAGTTTTGAGCTTTATCAACCTCTTAAAAAAGCTAACCAACTTTATTCAAACAAACTTGACATAACTTAGAAGACTATATAAGGATATTACAGATAAAGTTAAGGATATTTTTATCTGGTTCACAAACTTATAAAAAAAGCATGTATTTCTTATTTTAGCTTTATCTTGCCTTAATTGTCTAGTTAAATGTTAGAGGCTTCAAATGCATCTACATGTACTTTACTTTATATCCAGTGAAACAGTTTCAAAATAAGATACATGTAGCTGATTAAAATATCTAAGATTTCTCTTCACTGCACTGTCAGTTTTACAAGTGTTATAATTTATGTATTTGATAGGTCTATGGTCTATGCCACTGTAGTATAAAATTCTTAAAAATTGTTAAATGCTAAAGGGTGGTAAAATATTTTTTGAAGAGTAAATATGTAATTGCGCTGTTTATTTGAGATATATTTTTCTTAATCTGTTAACATCAAAACTTTGGGGGGAAAATACACTTGAGTACCTCATTCAGAATATTGTCTGCCTGACCTTCCTGCAGAAGTCTTAATCCAGCTGTTGCCTTCAGTATAATTGGTGTGCTTGCTTGTAAATCTTTAGGTATTTCTTTTACACAAGTGTTAACCATCCCTTCTAGACTGTAAGCTGCCTGGTTAAAACAACATATTTCAAAATAACAAAAAATTCACTTACATTTATGAATTTTGTATCTCCCCAATATAATTTTAAGTTCAGAATAAGAATAAAACAACAGTTCAGTGTGTTTGAACTTTTTAAGATTGAACTTGAAGTACATGTATGTGCTATTGTAAAATGTACAGTGATACCATGTGATAGGGCTAATTGAAAAATAGAAGAAATCAACTATAACAAGTTAATGATTGGACAATGCTTTTACAAATGTCAATGTGACCTTCTGACACTTTTTACATAATGATCAGAAAATCAATAAGGATCATCAACAGTTCCTATCTAGTTTCTGAAATGTTGCCTTATTCTTTTTCCAGTTATTAATGGAAAAAAGTGACAAAGTGTAACTGTGACTTTAACCTTTGATCTAATGACCACATAATAAATACACTTCATATACTGGCCATGGTCAATGTCCCTAACAAGTTTCACAAACCTAGACTTATTCCTTCTCAAGTTAATTAACAGTGTCAGGATTTTCAATTAATTGCCACTGTTAACCTTGACCTTTGGCTAAAAAAAGAAAATTAGTAGGGGTCACTTGCTGGCCATAGGCAATGTCCCTAAACAAGTTTCACAAACCTTGGCTTATTCCTTCTCAAGTTACTGAGACCATCCACCAAATGATTTTTCTTACTTAATTGGGAATAGGCCTAAGCCTCTTGATTTTGGGAAAAATGATCGCTTAAATTGCTGATTTGGGAAGTAAAAAAGCTGTTTCAAGTTAATATTCCTTTTTTCAGAGTCTTATATAAGTAGAAAAATCACTGCCACCCTACTATATTTAGAGACAGAACCCCTAATAATTATCAAGGTATTATAGAGTGGACCTCAATGTGGCAATCTGATAGGCAGATAAGTGCCATATACATGTACAAATTAACATCAGAAGATTAATAAAAAAGATTAATAAACTGTATATGTATTGTAATGGTGTTTTTTGTAAGGATCATATTTAAGAATGGTACATTCAAAAATAATAATTTAAATTCAAAAAGTCATTAAGGATTACCAATAGTTTATACTGAAATAATGATCTTACAGTGAGAAACATCCTCACGTGTGACAAAAACATACATGTAGTATTAATATGGATTACAAAATCTGTCAAAAGAAGGCAAGAATGGCTCCGAGTTTGTTTCAATACTACCCCAATTGACAATGACAATAGATTTCCCAATTCATTAGGGTTTGCAATCTTTAAATGAAATCATCATTACATGTGCAGTTTATAAAAATACATGTATGAGATAACTTTCATTATGTGTTTGTGATGATTTACACCTTTAAAGCAAATTAACAAAACATTAAGAAAGGTATACTATTTCTTATGTAATAAATCAAATACCATTTTATCTTATGACAGATCAATGGCTGTTTAGTATCTCCAAACTATAATTTAATTATGGTTTCAATAGCACAATTCTTAAATGTTAAAACAGGCTTCAATGATCATGAATTATCAAAATTACACAATACATGTATATAAATGTCAGCATCCATGTCAGAGTAACTTACCTTTAATGGATCTGCAGCATAAGATGAAAGACCTGGTTTAACTTCTTCAAAAGTCTCATGTAAGAGTTCAAGTGGCTTATCTGAATAAGCAATAAATTTTAAGTGTTGTCAAAATAATCCTTATAATATTTCCACATTATTTATGCATATTTCTCATGATTAAGCATTAGTATAATATAATGTGAAAAGTTAATTTATAAATCAGCATTTTTGACTGTGATGATCTGCAGATGTTTTTTTTAATGAAGATACTCATACGTTTAAAGTTAAATATTATAAAAATCATTATCATTTCTTGGATGTTATATCAAAAGATTATAGACAGTTTTTTATTTTGAAATTTCATTTCAATCACTTTTTAAATCTGTAGAAAAGACTGAAAAAATTCTTTATTGTGAATTGTTTTAATTACTGATTGTCATATACAATCATTAAAAAACTTGCATCTAGGTCTTAATCATAACACTAAATTTATAAATTATACCTGTTACCACTGTCTATTTTTTATATTTCTCTGGTCATATCCAAATTGGCAGATTTCTTTTATATAATCAGTTAATCCCATGACCGTAATCATTTAAAAGATTAAAAAATGTAATTAAAGATGCAAGTTAACAAATTCATTATTGTCTTTTTTTATTTTTGAAAAAGAAAAATCTACAGCTAACCCAAACAGTATATAATTGTTGTACAAGGTTGACCTGTGCCAAGTTAATATTCAGCCAAGTTGACCCTCTACCGTTTCAAAATGCTATTAAACTTATTGTACAACTAGCAGTTTGATTATAGTACAATACAAACCAGGGCTAGTTTGAAATTTATAGACATGCACTCTTGAGCCAGTGCTTCCTGCATCAAATACTATTGCATATATGTCTTTCTTCTGTTTATTGCTAACAGTTGGTGCAGCAGTTCCTTCAATGTATAATCCTTTTCCAAGTTCAGAAGCTAATGAAAACTCAATCTTTGGCTGTCTATCTGTGCTGTAAAACTGAGTCATAAACAAGATAAATCCAACAGTTCCAATAACAGTCATTATAGCAAGAAGTCTGCCCTTGAGTTTATAAGCAGTAAATGACTTCTTACTGTTTTGTGTATACATTATATCAGTGTCAATCATTTCTGTATGCAGCTTTCAACATATTACTCGTGCCAAGATATCCGAATCACATTTGTCCGACATCTATTCACTAGTAAACTATCGTAATTTTCAGTGTTTAATAACAATATTTCTTAATCAAAAAGTTGGTTTAACCTGTAAATTTAAAAAAATGTGAGTCTATATAAATACAACTTCATCATAATCTAAAAATTCTACAAAAATCTTAATTTAATAATACAAAATAAGAAAATTGACTCGTGGACTCCAGGCGCTTGCATGATGACGTGTCTTTCGAACCATTCCAATTCGTACCCAGAAAAACTCGCAAACAGACAAGATGAAATATAAATGTATTTCATGAATTTCTGTCAGATCCGAACAGACCAAAAATAGCCAAAACGTCATAAATAAAATCATCTACAAAAAACACGTGTGTACTTGAACTGTTTATCAAACATCTTGGAAATTCTGAATACTTCAATAGTCAGTTTGATCCTCAACCCTTTTGTCATACACAATGCTGTTTTAAAAGTTCAACGGCAGAACAATCATTACTTGTGTAGAGCAGTAGACGATAGATATATTTGTATATCTGTTTCATTCTTTCAATCATCGGTCGAAGTTGCCTTTAGATTGAAATCTTTATTATATATAAATCTATGGATTTGTTATGTACATAATCAGGGCTGGGAATCAAAACTGCGTCGTATCCTACAAAATGTAAACAAACGCCGCCATCTTGGAGCGAAAAATGTATGTTTTTGTTTATAACTCTTTTTGTTGGAAATGACTGAAAACAAGATATATGTATTAACACGCTTCACTATTTTCCGCTTCGTTCGGTATATGTTGCTTGCACAACTATTTTGTAAAACAAAAGTTATAGCGAACTTGCAACTCGAAGCGGGGCAGAATTTTTATGAAAATGTGTGGATACGACGCAGTTCATATTGCTTTATCTATCGTTTTTCCTTCAAATCAATTATATACTCGATTTCAGAGTTCACCATAAACGTCAAAACATAATTTTGCATCATTTACTAAACTTTTATTTAAAAGAGATGTTTATTTTCCAAGAAAATGATGATTTTTACGAAATGATACGACGCAGTTGGAAAAAAAATATGATACGACGCAGTTGTATTTTCATTGCAGGCTGAATATTGGTTAAACTATTTAAATTATGTGCTAGGTATGCCAATAACGTCCTACAACATTTCTTGTTTACAACTTAAGTCAAAAGCAGAGCTAGGTCACTCATTGGTTTCATAAAAATGGAAATGTAATACAATTCTATTAAGGCTGCATTTTTCGGTCGCATTTTAGTACTAATCATAATCATCTACAAATTCCGAAAAGCTGTATCAAATGCAAGATACATTGAAACACGTGATCGCACACCCATATGAAAACGTGTTCTTGCATATCAGACTGGCGTTTCCGTTAGTTTTACCCATGCCGGAAATTTCATCTGGCATGGGGGGTTCCAGATGAGTCGCGTGCTGTACAATGGCACGTACGATAAAGATGACGTCATTTTACCGTTATGAATGATTTTATAATTCATACGCTGTTGAATGAAAGTAGTTACGGTTGAAATGATATAAATTTTCATTGAAAATAAAGATAAAGAATATAAAATATAATGGAATATGGTAGAATATGCAAGAAAAAATATCTGACATATGTTTGCGGTTCGGATCGGAATATCCGTCCCTCGGTCACCCGCCCATGGGCGGTAACTCGGCAAGCCTCGTTACCGCCCAATGGGCGGGTCACCTCGGGACGGATATTCCGATCCGAACCGCAAAATATGACAGATATTATTATTCTACTGTTTCCTTAGCATGCTAATAAACTTGTTCACGTGAGTTCGAAATGGGAGTGATTACTATTTTTGATACAGAAATTCAATATTCCAGTGGACCCTGTAATAATCAGGAATGACTTTTTTCTTAAAAAAGGAGAAAAAAATACAAATTTTGAAAAGGTCTCTCGCTATCGGGAATGCGCAAATTGCATGCCTACCGTTGTTACTTGTAATGGGCAATAACTTCCGTCAATTCCGTTATCACTTTTGTCTTTTACGTGCCAATTTTATTGTATTCACTTTCTTAATAATCGACGAGAACAGATGAGCTTTATTATTTGAAACTGAACATTAAATTTTTAAAATAATATTATAAATGGTTAAGCTACAATATATTTTTGCAAGTAGGTTATGCGTTCCGTTTAGTCATTTTATGTTCAGCGCCGCGGCACTTTACCCCTGCGTTTCTTTATCGCCGATGAGGAAATGTCTACGGAATGTATTTTCTATACTTGCACTTGAGTATCATTCTTCTCCATCAAAAAACTTTTCAAAATCGAGTTTCATATGATACAACTACAAATTATTTTCTAAAAAAGGTGTCCGTTTTGCAAAGGTATTTTACGCTATGCATCGATAAATTTGATACAGATATAGGCAGACATGATCTTTCAACAGTATTGAAGAATTATTAAATTTTCACAATATTGAACAGAAAATGTCAGATTATCGTATCGAATTTTCAACAGACTAGAGACATGATACCTTAACATACCTTCATACTAAAGTGTGATTTTTTTTTGATAATGAATTGTCTGAAAACTGAAACAAAAGTTTTCAGAAAATGACTTCACAGAGGATGACCCCCTGTTTACATTGAAAATTGCTCTGCTATTAATACCTAAATAAGAAATTTAAATTTTATTCTCTTCATAATTATTTCAAATATTTATAATCTTAAAACTTCACGTCAGAAGTTAATAAAAAAGCTGCTTATTTGTACAGCTGACGTTAACAAACTTTGTTGAAAAAAACAAATCAGACAGGTGTGTCCGACCGAGGCCGAGCTGTTTATGTTTACTGAATTCAAATCACTTGAACTGAACTGCTATGAATTCGAAAACCACCAGGGACTTTTTATTCTTTTGTGTGGAAAACCTATCAAGCTAGTTTCAATATGTCGACGGTTCTCTGCAGGTACAACATTTTGCCTAAAATAATGCACAGAGGCGCACCTGAGGTCCTCGCCCATAGTAAAGCTAATGTGTAGAGTGAAAGTTTGAAAATAAACCACAAAAAGCAGTCAATACCCAGAACATGCAGAACCACAGTTAACTTAGAGCGTAGCTAGCCAAAATGAATTTAAGTTAATAGATTTCTACATTTTTTGCGAAAAAAATAGGGATAATATGGAACATACAGGAAAATATAAGAAATTATTTCAGATATTATGATCAATAAGGTAACATGTTCATGTTTAACTGAAAAGTAGCTTCCGCAATGTAAACTTTCAAATTAAATGTTATATTGGATCAGGTACGTATATTAACGTACCTGATTGGATATGAAACATTGTATTCTAAATAATCAACAGAACATCGCTTTACACCGCAAATGATCTGGGATTTTATCTAGCGCAAGTGATTATTCCATAAAATAGAAATATATTGCCAAAATTATCCCTGTTGAAAAGACTGCCAAAAATACAACTGCGTCGTATCATATTTAATTTTCAACTGCGTCGTATCATTTCGTAAAAATCATTATTTTCTTAGAAAATAAACATCTCTTTTTAATAAAATTTTAGTAAATGATGCAAAATTATATTTCGAAGTTTATGGTGAAATCTGAAACAAATATATAATTGATTTAAAGGAAAAAGCGATAGATAAAGCAATATGAACTGCGTCGTATCCACACATTTTCATAAAAATTCTGCCCCGTTTCGAGTTGCAAGTTCGCTATAACTTTTGTTTTACAAAATAGTTGTGCAAGCAACATATACCGAACGAAGCGGAAAATAGTGTAGCTTGTTAATACATATATCTTGTTTTCAGTTATTTCCAACAAAAAGAGTTATAAACAAAAACATACATTTTTCGTTCCAAGATGGCGGCGTTTGTTTACATTTTGTAGGATACGACGCAGTTTTGATTCCCAGCCCTGATAATATCAATGCCAAATTGGCAATAACACCCAGTCCATTTTTTCCACTAAAATATAAATTATATATTCAAAATGAAAATGTTAACGCTTTTTATCTGGGACATAATATGATATCATAGCTTTTTACTAAAGACAAAACTTCCAACTCACTTCTTTAAATATTGATAATATTGGTAAACCACGATTCAATTCAACTAAAATATTCAGAACATGTTACATAGATGACTTTATTATCACTTGTAAATGATGCTATTTTTGTAACAGAACAGAACAGATCATAAATTTTATTGAAGACTTGTACATGGTACATCATCTTACAATTTGTACAATTCAAATATACTATACAATAGTCACATGACATTAAATGTAGATAGAGAATACAACATGAAATACATGTATTCTGCTGGTTTCCTACATAGAGGGTTAACCATTCATTATTACATGTTATAAGACATGGGTGTTCTATTAGCCATAGCATCTCTGATATAGTAAGCCAAGTTACACAATGTTTTTTTATTATTACAATCTAACAATTCAATAAATTTGAACATACTTGGTCTAACATAGTAGTATCTATTAATATTTTTTTTACGAATTTCAAGAAAACAGGTACATACTAATTATAAAATGGTACTCATATCTGTTTTAGAAGAACAGAACAGAACATTTCTTTTAATATTTTTTTTACGAATTTCAAGAAAACAGGTACATACTAATTATAAAATGGTACTCATCTTCGATATCACGAAGGTTACAATACATGTATATACAATATCGTTAATTTCTAGGAATTCTGTTTATACCATAACGTCCGGTTTGTATCAGTAATGTATGTGACGACGTTCTAAGATTTTCTGGTATAAGATCTAAATATTGTTCATATAAATCGATTTAGATAATCAATAACATGTTTCCTAAAAGAACATTGATCAGCTAATTATATCGATCGATTAACTATGTGGGCTCGTTCACGATTTGCACGTGCCATTTTTTTTTACTTGCCATGACATATGTAACATTGGAAACGTATAGGAAAGCGCTCACGGGCAATTGACTGGATTGCAGAAGTTCGATTTCATAACTGTAACGTACCTATCGTAAGACTAAAAGATCAGTTATTTAAAATGGCAGATAATGAATGAATAAGTAATACAGCTTTGTTACTTGGTGAACTTTTTTCACACAGTATCTTGCAAAAGTTACTTTTGCTGTACATAGATACAGTTCGAAGGGAACATATTTCCAATGTAACCTACCCAACGTCTAATAAATCCATTATTGAAACGTTGTCGTGTTTTATTAATGGTCAGAGAAATGAATGAAATTGTAACTTTTAGAATCCCAAGTCATCACCGATAATAATCAAAATACTGAGGGTGATTTAAAACTCTTTATAACGCTAGTCCTTTCACAAACTTGCGAAACGATCAATATTGATGGAGACTGTACATACGGCATAACATGTAAACATCTTGTGACAGGGTCAATCTGGTAATCATAATTATGACATTTGTTTTGGGTAACGTTTAATGGATTTCGCTATTTCATTTTTTTTTTTCGTTGTATCTTAAATTTCAATTAATGAATAAAAAGTTTACATACACCTTGAATAATAAACAAACACCAGTTTTGGCAAATATTTTCCGATTCCAATGGTACACAATTTTAATGAACCTCTTGTACTATTCCTGATATGCTTGAAGAAATTGTGACACATATTTCCATCAAAATAACATAGGTTTGTATTTTCAGTTTTCATTGGTTTGTCGGAGGTGTCTGAGACACACGTACAGCATATGGTGTTTGGGAAGTTTGTATTTCATCAAAATACATGTAAACAAGTAACCCTTATTTGCATGAATTTGATTTCTACAAAAAACGTACGTAATTGTAAAAAAAATAATAAAAAAGAATTTCAATGTATTAAATGTACACCATTCAGATATTATAAGACGCAATTTTCTTAATCAGGTTTACAACTGTAAGCAATTTTAATTAAGTACTTATAATATATATGTATGTTTGTCATTAATTAGCACTCACATATTGTTTTATGCTATCCAATTAAATATTATATATATGGGCTGACGGTCTAACGAAATAAACTTGAAACTTGTGTTTGTTCTCTTGGTTTTGTCTAACTAAATTGCATTGCGTCTTGACTAGAGCTTCGAATCACTTCTGGCATTGATACAACAATTTATGGGCCCTAATAGAATTTTGAGCTAGATTAAATACATTTTGGAATGATAATATGCTTTGGGGCGGTGCAAGAATTAAGTTCTTTAATGTATTGGACTTGCCGTTAAGCTATAATAGGGTCTTTGGACGATCGCGTATCCCGGTCGCTATTTTGGCGCCAAAACAAGACCCCGTACCACAACGACCAGCAGTGCAGGGTCAGATGGGAAGTGCCAACTCGGTTTATATTGATTATAAATTTTCTTCACGATCATGTCTATTTAAAAGAACCTGTACTTGCTGAATATTTGCAACGGTCTTGAACTGACTTCACACTGTCTAGATCTGGATATGGCCATAACCAAACACATACTTATAGCTTTTGTAATTACTCAAAATTCTACCAAAATATATATAATCAAAATAACAAACATTTCGATGAATATTTTTGAATGGTGCAAAAGTGTTCGTTTGAAAAACCAATTTTTCCGATAGGCGCATTAATTTCGTTTTTACTTAGTACAAGAAAATAGTCCGATATTATTTATTTTAAAAAGAACACTTTTTCCAGCATTTAGAATATATTCAGTTCTATAATGATTGAAATAATGTAACAATTTATTCATACTTTTATTTTTTAAGAATACAAGTATGAAATTGATATTAAGTCTATTGTTTGTTTATTTGACAAGTCAGCACGTGGTTAATGACCTCGTGGCGTTGTTTGGTCGCCATTTTTTCTTAGATCAGCAACAACATTAGAATATTTTAGCAAAATGAGCGACGAAGACCGTGATGTTGACATTGAAAGTGATGTGAGTATAAGGATGATATTCCAAATGTTTTCTTTATGTTGGTCAACATATTTGCAGTAGCTCATATTTTGCAATTTTTAAGGATATTGTCATCAGCTGTCCGGAGATTGAGAGAACAACTTGTGATGCTTGAATGATTTTTAAAATAATGATTTCGTTTTCAGGAAGATGATGAAGATGGTTTCAGTAACATGGGAACTCAAAGTACACATTTTATGACTCCGGTAAGGATAGATTTTCGTATATGTGGACATTTACTGTAATTAGTACGGTAAAAAAATACTTTGTGAATATTTTTAGTTGCGCGCATGCGCAAGTAATTTGACAGATAGTAAACAGTAACACGTGATGATGCTTGTTTAATCTTAAACCAAAAAGAATGTTTGAAGTAACACATCCAGGAAGTACTGGTTTTGTAAGATGTAACTCAGGGGTCAAACTGTGAGCCCACCTTAACGAGCCTTTATTTATTCTGGTTAACTTTTTTAAAACCAACATCAATCTGGCTTGATTCAATTTCCATGTCAATTTAGAAAAATAATATTGAAGACCTGGATGGCAAATAAAATTTATTTGGCAAGGAATTGTTATAAGTCAAGTTTTATGTTTAAAATAGATGTTTATTTGTGTTAAATTTTTAAAGCTTTTTATTGACAGACGGTTTACTGCCAGCGGCTATATGAATAATTGATTAATTCCAAAAGTTTTATGATAAAAAAGCACTAGATCAATCTTCAGCACTTTATAATTTAATCTCAATATAAAGATGTTTACAATATATAAATTCATTATATAATGAAAGTAATGTAATAGCATAGATCTGCTTGTAAATTACTAAATATGGAACCAGGGTAGTTAATGTCTACAACTCTACATCCCCACAAGGGGTTCGACATTAATCATTTGAGCCGCATCACGACAAAACCAACATTGTGCGTTTGCGACCAGCATGGATCCAGACCAGCCTGCGCATCTGTGCAGTCTGATCAGGATCCATGCTGTTCGCTATCAGTTTCTCTACTTGTAATAGGGTTGGTAAATTCCACAATCCACACAGGTGTGGTTACTGGTTATAAAACCCAGGAAGCAGTTTTCTGGCATCAATTTAAGTGCATGTCTTGGTCTCAAAGAAGAGACTTGGTATTGAGGGGAAAACAAAAATCCATTGTGACGTGATGATGTGAAGTGTCACATCTATGTAAAATCACCCCAAAATTTAAAGGCCGGAGTTTGAAATGTGTCTTAAGAAAATATTCAGATTCGTCTTGAGTAGCTGTCCATTTTACTGCTTGCCATTCATTTAAAAACAAACATATATATCATATGTGGAAATGACATTATTATAAAAGTTGCAGGTTGGTAATTGTAAAGAAAGACCATTAAATGGTCAGTACATCATGAACTTGCTGGTTCCTTATCAAGCCTTTATTAGTATTACTGCTTCTTTTACAATATTTTAGAGATATTAAGCCATATTTTGTTCTTCATTAACTTTCAAGGCTGAAAGACGAGCGCACCATAATGCATTAGAGAGGAAGAGAAGAGATCATATAAAAGAAAGCTTTACCAGTTTAAGAGATTCTGTGCCACAGTTACAAAGTGAAAAGGTGAAATTCATAAGTTTTGAACTATTTTAAAATGTTGTTTCAAAATATTACTCATTAAGATTGTGTTCCATATGCAATTGTTAATTTGAAATACTATAATCTGTGGAACAAAGTGTAAAAATACAATTCTAATTATTAAATATGTATCATCTTCTAGTTGTAAACAGTTAACTTCAGTATGTGTTTCTCTAGGAATAGTCTAGGAATCAAATTCTTTTTGCTTTGTGTCTTGATTTAAGTTAACATGTTACATGTACCATGGTATGCTAGTTATTTAAATGCACTTATTCTAGTAATAAAGTACATAGTAGAATATAAAACTGTAATTTTACAAAGATCTGTTTAAATTATGATTGTTTGTGAATAAAGATTGTTTATGCTTGTTCATAAACTTTTTTTCATCCTTAGACTGAAAGTGGTAAGAGGACAACATCTCAGACTTCAAAAGTATGTTCACTTAAATGATCAGATGTTGTTTTTCATAGTAAATTTTGTGTGTCAATTTTTAAGTTTTAGATGAAAAGAAAAAAGACAACAAAATCATTTTGCTATAGATGAAACATAAGGAATATTCATTTTTAAAAGTAAATATATTAAATGGAATGAGTGTAATTATGTGTTATGTAAAAGTTACTGTGGTACATATTAACATGTTTTAACATGTAATTAGAAGTGAATCACAAATGCTTTAAAATTGAGGTCATTGTCATATTTGTTTGCTTATGCCCTTGAAAGAGAGATGTAAAAATTGTAACTTAGATTTGTTGGTCTATGTATTCATCATATTACGCTTTGTCTAGGGTATGATTTTGTCATGTATGTTGTGGCAAATCAAGGCCCTATCTCATATTCTGGTCACACATTAAATTTTAAAGGCAATTAAATCCTCATCTGTCTATTGACATATTCATTTTCCTATTCTAACTGTAATTCTTGTATGCATTGAAGAAACTTAGAATAATAATTTGGCACAAATATTCAGCGTCATTATGGTGATGTTTTGTATAAATTTATATAACATCTAGGTCACATCCTAACATGCAAACTATATTTTGTACACTTGTTTAGCATGTGAAGACATACAGTATCACATGCAATGGTCCATTAATTTACACGTACCTACCTACCTATCCTCTTCGCTCCGAGCGGAGCTCAGCATAAGGTCCATTTACAGTACATAAGGGTTACTAAATATATTCAGTATCTTTATAGGCAAAACACTCCTTTGAGGACTAAGCAGTAGGATTATATTAAAGTACCTTGGTATATTGTTAGGTATCTGTCAGTAAAACTTTTTTCTATCTGTAAGGTCAAGGTCACTCTGTATAAATATTAGTTATGGAGTTTTATTGACTGGTCAAAAATAATTGGGATTTGGGAGTAAGCTTATATAACCATGTAGTGCAACCAATGTTATTATATGATCATATAACATGTCAAAAGTGGTTATTACAAATTTATAGTCCTGTAAAAAGTGTTTCCCCAGCGAAAAGAAGATATAACATGTGATTCCTAAAATGGCATCAGTTGTTTATATTTTTGTCAGGATATCCAAATTAAAATCAATAATGCAATATTCTATAATACTAATTTGAGGAATTAATAAGTGCATTCTTCAGACATTAGAAATGTTATATCTTGTATTTTCTTTACACTATCTAAGAGGTCAAGGTTACATTTAAGTAACTTGTAAGTTATATTACATTTAGAGACATGTTACTATTTACTGGCAGCTCTGTTGGAATAATTAAAGATTATTGATTTATTGAAATAGTTTTATTTATACAATTTATTCTTTTCAACAGGTATCAAGGGCACAAATTTTAAAAAAGGCAGCAGATTACATAACATATATGCGACGCAAAAATCATAGTCACCAACAAGATATTGAAGAATTGAAAAGACATAATAATGTTTTAGAACAACAAAGTAAGTAAATATTTTTAAAATTTGATCAGTGTTCCCATTCACATGAAACTGTACAAATGCAAAAAAAAATTATGCTCAATGTATAAAGTCTATTTGTACAGGCTTGCTAAAATTAAATAAATAATCTTGAAAGGTGTGGCACTCTATTTTTTGTCTTTGTAACATTCAATAATGTGTTCTATAAATTTGTAAATGAAAATATTGATGAAAACAAATCATACACCTTGTTTTCTACAAACATAAGCAAAGAAACTTTAATCATTTAATGATGAAATAAAGCTTCTGGTTGTAGGATGCCAAATGTAAACAAACAGAAACTAAATTGTATTTTATGTCCTCGAAATTTTAGTTATTATAATTTTGTATGTTTTATTGTTTATGATTGCTAAAAATATGCTTATTCAGTTTTACATTTTGTATTTCAGTCAAATCTTTAGAAAAAGCAAAAAGTACAGGACAATTTGCTGTAACTGGATCAGTGAATTCTCATGGAGGAACATTATCTTTTGATGTGTCAGGATCTGATTCTGAGGAAAATCATGGACAAATACCTGTAGCAAAAAAAATCAAGCTCTCTGTAGACTGATAGTGATTATAACTGTAGTGACAAGTTAAATACTTTATAATAATGATGCAACCAAAGTTCATACATAATTGGATTAATATTATAGTAATTGAGAATTTCTCGTAAAAGTGTTTATTCCTGGATTATAATGATGCAAATGGCAGGCTCTTTAGATAGTCACACATTATTGAAAGGACATTTCCATTTCTTATGCTATGTTTCAGGTCATTTATGTCACATTTCTTAATTGGAAGCAGTAAAATGTAATTGCATTAAGTGATGTTTTAAATTGTTGATCTACCTGCCATGTTTAAAGTTAAATATATTGAAGTCATCAGATTATGTATCATGTCAATTTGCTACCTCAGCATTATGTTGTTTCATGTGAAACTGTTCTTGGTATGGTTAGTAATTAGGTCTACATGTGATGATAAATAATTAATCTGTAAAATCTTCTCATCTGGAGACAGTTACTGTCTTTTATCCCTAGAATGTGCATATGACTATTTGTAAAGGTATTCAAAACAATGTAGAAATGTGTCCTAAATGACTTGAAACCTTCTGTTTCATTTACTTTGTTAGCTACACAAATTGAAACACAAAGACGCTGAACATTTATATTGGTGCAAGTTATACTCTTCCAATCTGGTATTGGAATACTTTTGTTGTACATATATTAATAAGTTTGAAATAGAAATTAATAATTGTTTATGTAATAAGCAATGATGATCAAAAATTGTGAAAAACTAAATAAGTAGTTTTTATTTAAAGTCCCCAGTAGAACGTGTATATAGTAATTGCTGCTTTGTTAAAATGCTTGGATACAAATCAGAGGACCGACATTTGTTAATGAATAATAGTGAATAAATCATTTGAGCTGCGTCACGACAAAACCAACATAGTGCGTTTGCGACCAGCATGGATCCAGACCTCCGTGCAGTCTGATCAGGATCCATGCTGTTTGCTATCAGCTTCTCTACTTGTAATAGTGTTTGTAAGCGAACAGCATGGATCCTGATCAGACTGTGCGGATGCGCAAGCTGGTCTGGATCCATGCCGGTCGAAAACGCATTACGTTGGTTTTGTCATGATGCGGCTCATTTCATCTAACTAAATGATGCACATGTATTTTTGAATTGCTCAAATTTAGTTCAGACATTTGATATCTTAAATTAAGACCATTTACACTTTATATTAAAGGAGCCAATTAAAGATGTATTTTCTAAATTTGGTGCTTATTTTTTGTCTGCTTTTTTTCTTCCTCATGAATGTGATCAGAAATGCAGAAGTAGTCTTACTTTTGTTCCCTTTCTTTCTGTTTCTTTCATTATTTCTTTTGTTTTCTGTGTTTTGTTTTATCACCAGGGATATAGGGATTTATGAAAAAAAAGTTGAGCAAGAACTACATTCCAGATGTTAGGACTAATCTTGAATTACATAACTATTTTGTTGTTTCCTAGAAATCAATCCTCTCTAGAGCAGTGCTTGTTTATTTCTGTATAATTTATGTACTGAACTTTCCAGACAAGTGATTCTGTTTAGTTTTACATCTTTGATATTTGATGAATTGGAGAGAAATCCATGTGTTTGTTTATGTAGGGAAGTGTATGTATGATTTGATACAGAGAAACAGTAGAATTAATTTTTTTTGTAAAAATAATTTACTTGTACTCGGCTGCCATGATTTTTTGATAAACATTTGTCCTTCTCTTCTAGTTGTTTATGTTATATTGATGTATAGATTTTAATAAATTGTAAAAAATTATATTTAGTTTTGATTTTTATCATTGCATTAATATGTTGATTTTCCATTTGACAGGTAGATTTGAGGGTTTCTTAATTCATAGTCGCTATGTATTTAATTGTCAGCAAAATTCATTTGATTTGACAATTACATGATACGATTTATAAAAGAATAACATATTTTCTCTTTAGAAAACATGATGGCCGCTTTAATACAGTTTGGCATGAGAGTGTTTTCCCAGCCTTGAGTATCTAAACATTCTTAACTGTAACTGAAGGTTTTCTTGTGCGAAAGAACTGTTTACATATAACTTGCTTTCCACACATGTGGGTTCAGTGACCACAAAGACACTATCTAAAACCAGAAATTTGACCCAGTCCTAAGATATTATACTTCAGATATCTGCTTCCTTAACTTGACATTGAGTCATCTTTGTTAAACAAGCAATTATCAAAATATTGCAAGCAATACAAAAAGTCCCCTACTAGCTAGAACCCCACAAGAAGTATGTAAGCAACATTCTGAAGGGTCATGGCCATTAAAGGAAGACATGAAATGATGAATGAACTTGTGAGTTCTTAGTTTGTCTGTATCATACAAGGTGTTCACTAGCCATGAAATCCCGAGGGTTATTTTGACTAAGTTTTACCAACTACAAGGTGAAATCCCCATGATTTTAACAAAATTTGACCCTCCAGTTAAAATCAGGCCTTTTGGAAATTTGAAGGGTCAAAGAGTCATTTCAAGGGTCAAACAGACACCCTGATCATAGCAATGTGTTTAGTTTCCCTAGGCTACATTTTTTTTGTTTGTTTGTTTCATTTTAGGCCTTTTCCCAACAGTATTTCGGTCATATAGGCGGGTAGTTTCCTAACCATCGTTCCTGGAAAGTTACACCAGTACTAGACTACCTTCCTCCGCGCTAAACTACCAAAGCATCTCCCGGGGATCGAACCCACGCCATAGAGGTAACTGGATTAGAAGTCATCGACTCTAACCCCTCGACCATGGAGGCGGTTCCCTAGGCTACCTATTAAGGATATTATGCTACCTAATAAGGATATTATGTTAATGCAAAAGATCAAATTCAGAATGAAAACAATCATGGAAACCCACACGCTAGACTTATAAATCTTATCACATATGATGTAGGTGTTAAAAATGAACATACATGTATATTTGAAATTTGAAGTAAATCCATGAAGAAATAAGAATAGTAACTTTTACGTTATCAAGAATCCAGTTTTAATTTTATATTTGACATATTTTAAATCTATTTGTTGCCATAGCAACCAAAATTTTCAACATAGGGAAAAAAACACATGCATAATCTCCAGACTACCCTTAATTCAAGTTTCATAAAAATATTTGTAGTACTTTTTGCGTTTTCAAGGGAAAACCTAGTCCTCTTGGGTTAAACTGACTTAGACTACTAAAAGCTTTAAAGACGGGCCAAATGTTTGACCTTCATAGTTTGTTTATCTTTTAACCCTTTACCTCATATTTACGCGAAACAACGCACTTTCGACCCCCCCCCCCACTTTTTTTAGGCCTGAAATAGTGAAGTCCTATTTGGGCCCCAAACACGTTTTCGTTTGAGAAATGTTGTTAAAAAAAGTGAGCACTTTTTCGGCGCTGCCCCCATCCAAAAGATACATCAGGGGTTGCCAGAAGGTTTGGGGGGTTTGAAGGGGGGCGGAGTCCCCCTCATCGCCAAGAAAATTTTGGACTTGTGAGAGGCTTAAAATGACCCCAGGTCGTTCATAGGGTAACGTGTAACCAACGCTGAAAAGCCTTTGACTCTATCTCAATCCCTTGAGAAGTTGCAGCACTTCTAATAAATATTGATTGAAAAAATCGAGGCAAAATAGTGATTTTTGGCAATTTTGAGATGTCCCCATGTTGCCATGGTAACAGGAAATTTAAGACTTGAGCATGTCGTTACAAAGGCAATAGTCCAGTCAACATTTGTGCCAAGTTTGATTAGTATTGAAGCATTTTTCATAGTTTCATAGCAGTTTGAACTTGTAAGAGGCTTTTCAGTGAAAATGGCCATTTTTCACAATATGCTCATGGGGGAAAGGGTTAAAGATAAAGGTATAAAGGTCAAACATTTGTCCCTTCTCTATATAACCCATATTACATTGAGTACTTTTTGATAAAAGATACATCTTCATGATAAATAGCAGCAACTGAAAATTTACCAAAAGAATGAGTGTTGTATATGGAAAGATGTTAAACTTAATTAAGCAGCCCTGTGTAATAAACTGATACCTGGTAAAAGTAAAACAGAACAACAGTAAGTAAATGTAGATAATTTTAATACAATGATTTCACAGTAATGTTTGATAACAAAATGAAGCACTTGCTAGGGATCAAGTTAGTGTGTTGACCACAATAGAGTTATACAACATTTAAAGTACAGATAATTATTTACAATTACAAATTACACACATGATTGTGTACAAAGTTTGAAACAACACAACAATAAGCCAATATTAATGATTGGCAGCTTTTATAGATAATGTAGTGACAATTTATAGTTAAACTTGTTCTTATGAACATCAAATACTGGAACGTTCAACTATATGATAACTATGACAATTATACTGGAAATATCATTTGAATACATCATGTATAACTGTAATTCATTTTATTATAAAATAATTTTATGAGTGAGAAAGATACATCATAAAGATATAAGTACACAAGACTCCAGTGTTCCAAATGATGACTTCGAACCATAAAAGTTTGCAATATTGCCTGATACAAAAATGTAAGTTGAAACAAGCAAGTTTTATCCTCATTGAAACAAGGAAATGATAAATAATTATATTATGAATCTTGTGTGTATGATTATGTAAATTATCACTTCTTTGTTCATTTAATAATATTCTCCATTCTAATTTTTTTTTTACTGGAAATGTTAAGAACAGTAATTATGTATTTCTATTTGTTAAATAAATGAAAACAGTAAAGCACAAGTAGATCATCCTTGTGAAATTACAATCCAGTTATAAAATATGTCAATGTCAGTGAATGAAACATCTTGTACTGAGCTCTCTTGTGGCATTATAGTGAAAACCACTGCATGTGATGTGACAACCAGAATTCTAATCTAAATTTATTTAATAAAAATAATTTCAAGACTAAAAATGCTACTTAATGAACTGTAAATTGGCTTATAAAGACATTTCAAGTTAATATAAATATGCAGTAATTCCCTACAATATGTTTTGTTAGTTGATTGTGGTGATATGGCAGTTTTCCAGCTTCAACTGAAGGTAGTCTTAATGTAATGCTTTCTCGCCGAAAAATTCTAACATTGGCCAATATCGTGGCAAATGGGTTATTTCCGAACGTTATTTTTTCATAATCTTGGGCATTAGATTATTTACAATCACTCATCCTTTATCACTATGTACTAAATTCCCTTTATAAACAGTAAAAAATTATTGAATAACAAAGATTGTGAAAAATAACATTCCTGAAACAACAGATTTAATACGATAATGGCTGATGTTAGAATTTTTTTAAAGGGAAAGCAGTACAGTAAGACTACTATAAATAATAGTCGCCTAACCCTCATGGTACAAGCATATTTCTGGGTTGAACCACCAACATTCTGCAAGGTGATATATATTTTTCTCATTATAATGCAAATATGAGAGAAAAGGAATATTTACTGACTTGAAGCGAAATTAATAAAAAAACAACTTACAATATTGCTATGTTAATTGTGTAAGTGAAGTATAACAGCAAAAGCTAATCATTGGTTTATTGCTCTGACAATATGTAAACTTATACAACGCTATGATAGAGTAATTGCTCATGCTTTAATTTTAGTAAATTCTATCAGAATAGTACACTTTTCCCCTGAAAAGTCTACACTAAAATTGACAAACATGCATAAATAAAACAATTTCAATGATGCAAGTATGACTGAATAAAAACTTTTGTGCTGTAATGTCATCTAACATTTAATGTATAGGTGTAATTAAAGTCTTATCTAAATATCATGGGCAGATTACAATAAAATTACTCCAGTCAAAATGTTTTTTGTTTTTTTTAAATAACAACAAATTAATAGACAAATCAATGTGTTATTTCTACATGTAGCATATTATGTTTATCTATAAAATTTGTATAAATTAAACATAAAGAAAGTGCATACTTTTGTAATGATTTTGAATACTTAACAACAAGAAGGGTAAAACTTTTGAATAAATTTCCATTTTAATAGTTTCAGTTTGTTTTGATTGGGTAGCTTATTTATCAGTGCAGTTTTCAGTATGTTTGGGGTGTGTAAGTTGTCGGAAGTATAAATCTGCATGAACTATCTTCTCTACACACACATTGTACACCGGATGGGTTGTTCTCTGAAATAGTAACACTTTTACTGAAAATTCTAAATATACATGACAAAATATAATATTTAAGAAAATGGCAATACCTTCCCAGCCAATAGCAAAGCCATATATTTACAGCAAGTAAACATTTAGGCATTCTAAAATAATTGTTTTAAAAAGAAAATAAAACCTCTTAAAATCTTGTCTGTCAAAGTTCTCCTAAACTTATTTCCATTTTTTAAATGAGATAAGAAAAATTATGATATGCATTCCTTTCAGTATAACATTTTCTTTTTATTTATATTGCCAATGCCCATTCAATTTGTAAAATTTTGTATCAATTTTAAATATCTGTCAATCAAGATCAATTAATGTGGATAAAGGCCTACCAAGATATTATTTTCATGTCCTATGTTATAAACATGGCTGAGTTTTCCTCCTGCAAAGTGCTGAGCCACAGAAAGACCACTTAAACAATACGAGGTATGGTAGTAATCTCTCATCCTGTAATACCAGCATAAATATATCACGATAAATGACATGTATGGTAGATAAGCTTAAATATGTTATTACAAATATACTTGCCTAAACATAATACTAAAAGATAATAAGAGCTGGTCTAACCACATGATGGTTCCTGAATAGTTTTTGCACACAGAGATGTAGTTTCTTGTTGATATCTCTTGTAGTTTCAGTGTTATGTCCCTGACAAAGTTCAATGTGTAAAAATGAACAAAAGGCAATAACCCAAAAAGTAGGCAAGGCAGAGTTACAGTTCTTTTGCACTGCACTTCTACTCAATGAGATCTATCTACCTACCAAGTCTCTTGTTGATACTCTTGTATTTTCAGAGTTTTGTCACAGACAAAGTTCAAAGTGTAACTAGAAATGTGTCCATAGGACACGGGTGCCCACCACCGCGCCACTGTTCTGTTAATCTTATGACTCTAGGTCAAATATTTTTTGAAAACTAAAAATCTTTTACTAATTAAAGGGCAAGAACTTTACAAAATTTTAATACTGAAAAAATCCACAAGCAACCCTAAGGTGCATAAGTACACATGCTGACCAACATTCTTGTAAACTTTCAGGCCTACAAGTGAAATACTTTTTGAGCTATTCATGAACAAGTTGAAAATTGCAAATTTATACTACTGTAAGTCAAGGGCAATAACTCTAACAAAACTGAAAAAAATCCACATGCAAAGTCCCAGGTGCATAGCTTCACAGTGATGTGAATCATTATTCCTGTAATTTAGTGATGTTGATCATTATTCCTGTAAAGTTGGTTGATTCTAACTCAAGCACACAAGGAACAAATAACAACATAATAACATTACTAAGTCAAGGGAAATAACTTTACAAATACTGGATAAATCCACAAGCGAAACCCCAGGTGCACAACTACATATGCTGAGCAACCTTCCTGTAAGGTTTAATGACTCTATGTCAAATCCTTTTGAGTAACATGAGACACAAGTTGAAAATTGCAAAAAATTTCTAAGTCAAGGGCAATAACTCTACAAATACTAAATAAATTCACATGAAAATACCCAGGTGCACAACTTCACATGCTGATCAACATTCATAAAAAGTTTCATGTCCCTAGAAGAAATACTTTTTGAGTTAAGTGTGACACAAGTTGAAAATTGAAAATTTATACTAAGCCAAGGGCAATAACTCTAAAATTACTAAATAAATCCACACGAAAATACCCAGGTGCACAACTACACATGCTGATCAACATTCCTGTTAATTTTCATGACTCTAGGTCAAATACTTTTTGAGTTACATGCAACACAAGTTGAAAATTGCAAAATTTTACTAAGTCAAGGGCAATAACTCTAAAAATACTAAATAAATCCAGACAAAAATACCCAGGTGTAAAACTAAACATGCTAATCATCATTCCTGTATAGTTTCATGACTCTAGGTCAAATACTTTTTGAGTTACATGCGACAAAAGTTGAAAATTGCAAAATTTTACTAAGTCAAGGGCAATAACTCTAAAAATACTGAATAATTCCACTCGAAAATACCCAGGTGCAAAACTACCCATGCTTATCAACATTCCTGTAAAGTTTCATGACTCTTGGTCAAATACTTTTTGAGTTACGTGTGACACAAAAGAGAATGGACGGACGGACAAGGGTAAATCTAAATGCCCGCCACTAAAGTGGGGGCACAAAAATGAACAAAGGTCATTAACTAAAAAATTAGGCAAGGCAGAGTAAAATTTTTTTGCACTGCACTTTTACTCAATGAAATCTATCTACCAACAATTTTATTGTTGATACCTTTTGTAGTTTCAGATTTGGTCCCAGACAAGAAAAGCGGATGGACGGACAAAGTCGCCATTATATGCTTTCCCTTCGGGAAGCACAAGAACTGTTGCATTATTTTTATTTAGAAATTTATAACACTGACAGTGTAGGAAAATACAATAAACAAATATTTATAAGTTAATCTTAAGTTTCATACATGCTTTAGACTTGTTTCTTTCCCTGATTTTTTTTATGGCAGTTTCCACTATGATTATACACAAAGGAACAACCATAATTTATCTTATCACATACCCATGCTGCTTTTCTGACTGTGTAAAAATGATATAGAAGTACTATTCATTTATTTTCACAAGATTTCTACATATGCTAATTGTTAGCTAATAAAAAAATTCATTTTGACAATAACAGGAAATTTTCCTTACATGTGTGTGTTTAATAGAATTTCATATTTGTTTTGATTTCTTACTAAATTTGAATACAAGAATACTTATGCTTGCATTTATAACTTAATTCAAATTGTTCAATAAATTCAACATGGAACCTAAATTTGTTCAATATCCTCTATATTATATTCATGAAAAAAAATCATGTTTAACTATGAATAAATTTACAGACATTTTATACTACAAGAAACTCCTTAAATTGACTGAATTACTTTTTAATTTAAAAGTCTACTTCATAAATAAATGAGTTACCTTCCAGGTTTGTCTATAAGTCCGCCACCAGGATATTGGCAACACACTAAGATGTATTCTTGTAATGCTTTCTGATTAAACAACCAATGCTCAGCACTTAAGGCTGAATCATCTGTATAAATATAACAACATGCTGTTTACTGTACATCTTTTTGTTTATATAATACTGTTAACATATATCTTGTAAATATGTAACTTATTTCAATCAATTAACTTATTTCAATCAAATAAATAACTTTAACTAAAAATTTATTTTCTTTTAGATATTCAAGTTCTTTGTCATAATTTAAGTTTGTTTGTTTTTAAACTGATTTTAAATCATGTTTTATCTAGGTGTTAGACCCATCTAACCTGCTTTCCTGATAAATAATCAGTCACTACCAATTTCTCCCAAAGTGGTCACCTCTAATGCCACATGATTTCTTCGTCAGTGGCAATTAAACTCAATGTCTAGGATCAATTGTCTCATAGAAATTTCACCTTGTCTGAAGATCAAACTAGCTACCCCTGGATTTACAAATCCAATGTTCTCACTATTGAGCTAAACTGGTGGACTCTTAATTTAAGAACATTAAATAAAATGTTACAAACCTTGCATGGACAGGACCATATGTATAAGAGGAAAGGCTCCGCCCTGCCAGAAAGAATAACAACCATCGACTAATTTATTGGTCCGCCCTTGAAAACCTCCTTCATAGCGCATCTGACGATTCACAGTCCAACGCTAACAAAAAGAAATATAAGCAAGTCCTGTCAATTAAGAAATTGCCACCTAATTAACACCAGTATTACATATAAAACATTGACCTTATCAGCGTCTCATCAGAAATAGCAACAATACCCATAAATGTAGTTTTTTATTTTTTAGGGAATCTTTCACCGTGACACTTAAATGTGTATTAGATAGAGTCATAAAAGACATTATATTGAATATCATTAAACCTGTCCAATACCAGGCTGCCAGGAGGAGGTAAGATGTCATAATGATATATATTCTTCTATTTCACCTTAGCAACATAAGAGCAATGAAATGAATGGCTGTAACCATTCCCTGTGTCTTTATACCGCTTAAACCTGTGCTAGGGGGCATATGGGATGTTGCACTTTTCTAATAACCCTCAATCAAACAGAGTCTAAATTTTCATATACTTTTGTTGTTTTCATTGCTTCTGAGGGATCATCCCCTTTTCCAGATTCCAAGCCCCACTTAATTATTCATTTTTCCAGATTCCAAGCCCCACTTAATTATTCATTTTTCCAGATTCCAAGCCCCACTTAATTATTCATTTTTCCAGATTCCAAGCCCCACTTAATTATTCATTTTTCCAGATTCCAAGCCCCACTTAATTATTCATATCTGTTTGAGCAGACAGAAAAAGAAAGCACAAACAATTCTACATAATTAGCAATCCATCAACAGGGGTTAATAAAAGCAAAATTACATACTTACCAGTAAATTTTTGATATCACAAAGGTTCGTTTTGTTGAGTAGTGTTAAAGCTGCTATACCACAGAATGAATAACCACCATGAGCCTCCATACCAGGACATCCAGCAAAACCTCCTTCATACGTCTGACATCTATAATATATGTATACATGATATAAACTAGTGTTCAAATCATATGTATAATGATCGGTCAAGTGTGTCATTGTGTTAGTTTATTACTGTAAAATCATTATTATTCGTGGGGCACGAATTTTCGTGGTTTTCGTGGGAAGGTCAATCCACGAATTTAAGATCCGACGAACTTTTATCCCAACAAATACTTCTTACCCTGTCTCTGTTCTATATATTACAAACATGCGTCGGCTCTTTTCCGGCCGATATTTCGTGAAATGGATGTAAGTACAAACAGATAACCAGGTTGTGACATATTAAATCTGTTTGCAATATTTAAGAAACTTGAAAGAAAACTCGATTATATGTCAATTTACTGTCACAAATGTCGCATATACATACTTGATCGTTGTAGTCTACTAGGACTTGATTGTGTTAACAAGAATACTTGACATAATCGAGTAAATATGGGAACCCAGGCAGTGCAATAATAAGCGCTAATAAAATTGTCAGTTTGCTCTTATTAATTTAAAAAAAAAATGTCTTTGATATTAATGTCGTAAGTACACAAAACTATAAAAAAAAATACGATCGCTTAAACAGATTTATTGTACTTTCTTTTGTTGTTTTTAAATGCTCAAGTTTATATGAATTTTAATCAGTATTTGTGCGAATGCTATTCCGTAAACATCAAAGACGCCACCGACTTTTACATCCACATATACTCGTGTTACTTAATACCGAGAATAATTTACATGCATGTAAATTTACACAGTCGCTGTGACGTTGCTTGTAGTTACTGTCAAATATGTAAAGTGTAAACTTTTAAACTCGCTGGTTAAAACGTGCCAGGTGTCGTATAAATTATGCGATGTTTACATCGGCGAATTACAGGGGCAGTGTGTCCAATGGAGGTGCATATCATGTCACATAAATGTGTTAATTGCAGTCAATTATCGGCAGTAACTGTGCTGTATTAGAGTTATGCCCAGAGGCAAGGATTAAATTTATTGACAACCGCTGTGTGACAAGTAAAGATATGTACATGTTGTAAGTAAAAATGTTCGGCGATTAAGATTACTTTGCATTAGGTTACTGAATTTTTTTTTAACAAGAAAACGAAAATCCACGAATTTAAGAACCCACGAAAATGCCCGTTTTGATAAAACCACGAACTTTCATGCCCACGAATATAAGTGAATTCGCAGTATAACATCAACACCTTTCCCTTTAAAATTAAGACAAAATTGGGACAAATTTTAAATTATCTTTGTTTCCTCTCATGCGTCCCATGCCAGTTTGGGTAGGGTAGGTAGGAAAGGGTCATAACTGAATATGCCTAAGAAATTTTATATGCAAACTTGCATGTCTATCTGTTAAAACTGCTTCAAAAATGTATGACTACATGTAAGAGAATAGAAATTTGAGGACATTTTAATAGAATACCTGACTATCCACTCTGGTGTGCCATCAAATAATTGTGGTGTAATTATATTGGTCAGTCTGGCTACACTAGCTGCACAGTATGCTCCTCTATAAAATAAAATCAGAGAAAATTCTCTTACACAAGTAAACCATTAGAACAAATGCTTGACTGAATAAGAGCTGGACATATATAAAATTTATAATTACATTTATTTGACACTTGAAATTTGAGTTATACACCATTAAATGAATAGTTAAATTGAGCACTATAATCAAAATTTTGATCAACTAATCCATAATAATAGAATTCATTATCAGAACTATGGGATGATCCTGCTCATAAATTTATCACTGTGAACTTGTAAACATGTATTATTTCTTAACCACAACTTATTCAAATATTAAAGCTCAGCTCTAAATAACTTGTTTTTCGGTAAGCATGCCTTTTCCATATTTACCTTCTATACTGGACCAAATTAATATGTGGTAATTTTATTAACCTTGTTAATTAAATGAAATGACAACACCGATTAAGCCTGATATTTAGCAAAAAGACTTTTCATACATGGAATGGTTTTATCATATAAATAAAATCCAAACATACCTGATATCCTCCTCACCTCCTAGATGCATCTTGAATGACCCGTGTGCTGTTCTCATTCTCATTAAAAAGTCATATAAAGTTTCTCTGAAAACGTCATACATTAAAAATCTATAGCAAACATAAAGAAATGCAAAAAATGTATTCTTGTATAAAAACTGCATGAATTAACAGAATGAGATAAAATCATGCAGCATGTGCCGTTGTTGCAAGTGTTTTTTTTTAATATGTGTGACTCTGGGCACCAAGTAAAAATAGCTGACAGCAATGACTGCCCTGGTAATTTCATGATCAAAACCTAACTGTGAAGTGGCATAACAAAAGCATTACTAAACAGGTTTCCTTAAACCAAAAACAATAAAGAAAGGCAGAAATACTGAATCTGATGTATACTTTAACACAAAAATAGCACTAATGCACCTTCTTTGTGCATTAACATCTGTAGAAGCCCTCATACTATATTAAATCCCTTGCCATGCAATCACAGGCTTTAAATGTGTCCACAAAGGTTGCATGAGTTTTCTAACATTACATACTCTTTATAAGAAACATTCAAATTGTTTGGTATACATGTATGCTTTAAACTCACAAATAATATGCAAATTTCCTAAAACCAAACAAAATCACATAGTAATTACAACATAAACAAGGGAAATACATTTCTATCCCTTGATAGTAGTATGTACTACACTGAAAACTTTTTGTGAGTCAGTTCTAAACTGATATTTCTAGTTTCAAATTCATTTTTTTTCTCTGAAATATCATGATAAATACCAGCTGTTTAAAAAAGAAAAGAAATTAAAACCATAATTATTCTATCTATTCATTACCTATCAATTACTTTAAATGATTCCTCTGTACCTAGTATACATAAAGCATTGACAGCAGCATATGTGGGTGCTAAATGTGCCTGTTGTCCTGGTCCACCTGTAGAAAAAAAATACACCAATAAATCATGTATTGTTTAATTTAATGTTAAATATATCAAACTCAATTCAAAAGGTATTGACAGTTTTATTACTCAAATTGTATCCTATGCCAGTGACCTTTTCATTGGAAATGTGTTTGGGATTAATTGTTTACCCAAGATTTCTTCTTCGGGGGAGTGCTCTCACATACAAATGAGAAAACCTGGTGTTTCAATGCTCTTTCTACTTCTAAAACATTTGCACTATTGTTTCTAATAGTAAAATATTAGTAAAATAGAATAAAAACTTGTACTTGTTGGCTGAACACTGAGTTGACATGAGGATATTTCAGTCAAATACTGGTGCAAGCAATCAATTTAACCAGCATTCGATTGTAAACTTTAAAAGAAAATCAACTTTTTGCCAAATTTCAGGTAAACAAATCTACGATCAAGCTTTTAAAATAATATAGACAAATAATTGAGCTTATTTTAAACATGGCTTGATACCTGCGAATCCTCCGTCTGGACACTGACATTTTCCTAGAAACTGGGCTACCCTGAAATATACATTGAACAATAAAACACTGACCCAGATACCATTTCACCCTCAACTTTTAAAAAACAAGAGGGCCATGATGGCCCTAGATCGCTCACCTGACTTATCAAACTCATCCAAACAATGACCTAGACAAGCATTCTGACCAAGTCTCATGACAGGTGAGTCAAAAATGTGACCACTACAGTGTTAAGAAGGATTATCCATATTTGAGCAGTGCGACCTAGTTTTTTACCCAGGTGACACATATTCAAACTTGACCTAAAAATCATCAAAACAAACTTTCAGACCAATTTCCAGGATACTTGGATCAAAACAGTAGCAACTAGAGTGTTAACAAGATTTTTCTATTTTTAGCTCCGGTGACCTAGTTTCGCATGTGATTTCGAACTCATCCAAGCAATTACCTAGACAAGCATCCTGACCAAGTTTGATGATAATTGAGTCGAAAATGTGACCACTAGAATGTTAACAAGGTTTTTCCATATTTGGGCGATGTGACCTAGTTTTTCATCCAAGATGACCCATGTTCGATCTTGACTTAGAAATCATCAAAACAAACTTTCAGACCAATTAACAGAATATTTGGATCACAACAGTAGCCACTAGAGTGTTAACAAGATTTTTCTATTTTTAGCTCCTGTGACCTAGTTTTTCATCCGAGATATCCCATGTTTAATTTATTCCCAGCAATGACCTAGACAAGTTTCCTGACCAAGTTTGATGACAATTGAGTCAAAATTGTGACCACTAGAGTGTTAACAAGGTTTTTCTATTTTTAGCTCCTGTGACCTAGTTTTTCATCCGAGATGACCCATGTTCGAACTCATCCGAGCTATCACCTAGACAAGCATCTTGATCAAGTTTGATGATGATTGATGCAAAAATGTGACCGCTAGAGTGTTAACAAGGTTTTTCTATTTATAGCTCCTGTGACCTACTTTTTCATCCGAGATGACCCATGTTCGAACTCATCCGAGCTATAACCTAGACAAACATCCTGACCAAGTTTGATGATGATTGGGTCAAAAATGTGACCTCTAGAGTGTTCACAAGGTTTTTCTATTTTTAGCTCTTGTGACCTAGTTTTTCATCCGAGATGAGCCATGTTGGAACTCATGCGAGCTCTCAACTAGATAAGCATCCTGACCAAGTTTGATGATGATTGAGGCAAAAATGCAACCGCTAGAGTGTTCACAAGCAATTGTGGACGTACGACGGACATTCACCGATCCTAAAAGCTCACCCTGAGCAAGCTCTGGTGAGCTAAAAAAAGTTTCATATACATGTACATAAATATGGCCTTTTAATTTATATATATATACACTGATTTGAAAATTAATAATAATATTGACAATTTGATACTGACATTTCACTTTCATATAACCTCTTAATTAGACAGAAAATAAATACATGTCATCCTTGGACAATCCCAATAAAGCTGTAAGAAGACACAATAGTGTGTGCAAACACAAAATACCAGACAATAACCTTATTTCAATGTTTATACTAGCATATACTTTGTAAGGGATTAAATCATTTACAGGTACATGTCAGTGTAAGCAATGACAATGAAAAATCTCTGTGCAGACTAAATTGTTGGTGTCTCTCTTTTAGTATTTTAATATGAAAATTCCAATATAAACTATAAATTGGCAGAATCACATTCAATTGAGGACAAGAGCACCAATTCAGCAGGTTAAAGGCTAACATACATGTATATAGCAGAAGTAACTTACTGAGATATTGTCTCATCATTCAGTGGTTCATCCAGCAGTTCCAGGGCATGTAGAATCCAGTAACATAACCATGGTCTACTAGCATCTAAACACTAAATATATATACTAACAATATACAGTTTGTTTTAGTCTGAACAATGTAGACAAGAATATATTATGTCAAATAAATTCTTACTGCATTAAAAGTAAGTAAATATTGTTTAAACAGTTTAAATGGAAACCAAGATTTAACATACATGTACTAACAAGTACTACCTAAGAAGTGTAACTATAATAGCCAGAAGACAAATAATAGTTTCCATATATTAAATTTCAACAGTTATTTTGTCAAATTGAAAACTTCTGTTTTATTTACAAATGAAATGGCAGAGTTAATTTTAATTTATTAAATTCATCAAGTATAACTATAAGTTGCATTTTTGCGACCTTGGCAGATTGTACTGCCGACAGCTTTATGTGACCCTGGCAGATGTACGAAAAATGTATAAAAAGGTTATGATAAAGTACTGACACTTCTTGTTATACAGATATTCAATAAAACGCACCTCATATGATGATGACAGATTACTCAGACCTTTACGTAGAAATGCAACATGTTCGTCTCTATGTAATACTGGCAGAATACACCTGAATATTGATAGTAATAATGAAATATTTATTACAGTTAAAGTTTAACAAGTAGCAATGTAGTAAGGTTAATTCTCATTAACTGTTTTACAAACTGATGACTAATTGAGAAACAAGCATTAGAATTTTTTGGAAGTTTACTAACTTGTCGCAATATTTACTATTAGGAAATAGATAGTAAAATATTAACATATCTATTTTGAGTGCATTGTTGTAGAATAATGCATGGTTCAAGTACAAAATTTATGCGCAGGAATATAATCATGAAGGCCGATAGGCCCAAGTAATTCATTAAAAAGCATTTGAAGATAAACTGTGGCTGTGCATTATTATACTATATAATGCAAGAAAAATTTCTATTTCCATTCTAACATAAATATGTTAAACTACATTGAGCGTATAATTAATTTGACATCAAATAAGACCACATTTGATGTGTAAGCTTTTGTCTTTTATGTTGTGCATATATACATGTATTGTGTAATTATGCACTTGATTGCCAAGGGAATAGTGTGAAGTGTGTTAGAATGCTGATTTTAACACTGTCTCCTAAAACTATGCATTTAAACTAGTGGTATTATAACAAACATTAACAATCAACATCTTTCATTCTTTGTAAGAACATTTGAAGTATGATGATTATGATCAGGTCATGACATATGTGGTAGAGTGGTTAAGGCAGCTGATTTCTAATTATTTTTATGTCATTGTGTAGAAATCAGACAAGGAATGTTAAATATTTTCATATACCCAGCTTATACAATGTTAGTGATTCTATCTAGATGACTTCTCATATTAACAAGAGCTGTCACAGGAGACAGCGAAGCTCGACTAATAAAATACTGGACACAGTAAGGAGGACAAAACTATGAAAGAAAAATCAATTATGTATAATAAAGTATTAAGTTGTATTAAAAAAAACATTTGTTATAATAAATCCAAGATTAAGGGGAATAATTCTAGAAATAGTCACACTAGAGTTATGAACCTTGTCACACAACATGTGTGTAATGATAAGAAATATATATTTGAAGTAGATACCTTAAAAAGTAAAGAAGTTATAATATTTCTTAAAGAAAATCCTAAGTTCAAAGAGAGATAAATCTGTAAATATTGCTTCAAGAGTTATGAACATTGTCACATAAAATGTAATTGATGACAAGGAATAAGTATTTGAAGTTTGAGGTAGATACATGTACCTTTAAAACTAAAAAAGTTATAGTAAAAAATAACATTTTTCTAGTAAAAAAAAATCTAAGTTTATGGGGAGATAATTCTTGCAATATTGGTGCTAGAGTTATAAACCTTACCACATAAGATGTGGATGATGATAATGTACATATATTTGAAGTATGAAGTTGATCCCTTTAGAAATAAATAAGTAACAGTAAAAAATAATATTTTTTAAGGAATATTCTAAGTTCAAGGGGAGATAAATCTGAAAATATTGGTGCTAGAGTTATGAACCTTGTCACATAAGATGGGGATGATGATAAGGTACATATATTTAAAGTATGACGTTGATCCCTTAACAATTAAAGAAGTAACAGTAAAAAATAGTCTTTTTTGAGGAAAATTCTAAGTTCAAGGGGAGATAAATCTGAAAATATTGGTGCTAGAGTTATGAACCTTGTCACACAAGATGTGGTTGATGATAAGGAACATATATTTGAAGTTTAAAGTTGATACCTTAAGAAATGACAAAGTTATAGTGAAAAATATTTTACTGCACCAAAACTTTAATCTGAAATCTGGACGCGGACGCCGACAACAGGGCGAGTAGGACAGCTCTCCATATACTTTGTATAGTCGAGCTAAAAATGACAAAAAATTTGGAGCCTAGTATTTTCCATAACTTATTGAGCTGAATAATTGTCTTATGACCTTTACTTTATCCCTAACAAAAGAAATCATTTTGGGAAAATCAAAGTATTGCTACATCAATTTTCAATATATATATGAACATACTCAGTATCAACTTCTAGTCTATGTTTAAAGTTTGTAAAAAGCTTCTTCACTGACTCTTCAACATCAACCTGTAAAAATAAAAATCCTCTTTTAATATAATGATAAAACAAAACAACTGTATATGTACATCAAATAATTAATACCTTTGTGGAATAGGTAAAATGAGTATGTAGTATAGTTTTAGTATTACCAGATACCAAAAAGTATTTCTAAAAGTAGTTTTCAAGAGTGATTGGGTATATTGAGTATACTTCAAGGTACACAGGGGCAATTAGTACCCAGGATGACAATATAAACTTCCCCAGTATCACGGATTTATATTACAAGGATCCGACACTACTGTTAAGCTAAAAATCGCTGCACGCGCATGCTTGGAATCGCACATTAGATAAAGGTGGAAAGAATGAAAGATGGCGGAACGAACAGAGAGTAAAATATGGCAGACTTTCACAAGAGTATGTGGTGTTATTGCAGCTTTTTGAAAAAATATACACATATGAATGTATTTATACAGTATTATTTTGTGTTGCTAAAGTATTAATATATGAAAATATGCTGACAGAACGCTGAAACGATGAGTTAAAAAAGTACCTAATTTAGAAAAAGATTTGCCTATTGTTTAGAAATACTCTCTACACTTTGACCCCCTTTTACTTCAAGCACAAATTATTACCGCGAATCATATTAAGATAATTATTTTTTACATGGTTTAATGGTTGCATTGTAAAAAAATGTTTCTTTACTGCTTAAATACTTTTAAAGAAATTTATGTTTGAAATTTGTCTTTATTTCTATGAATTAATTCCAAATGATTTGTACATTTTTTTTATTTGATTACCTGAAAATTAGTATTAATATAGTAAATATTTTACTAATTAGTCTAGCAAATATATTTTCAGATCATTCAAGACAAGCGCTCATATATAGATGAATTCATTAGATTTAATTTAGATTGGCAAGGAAGAAACTTTTATTGGCATACAGAACAGCTGTTTTATAATATTTTGTTTTTATTTTGAAACAAATTTTTTTTCATAGTTATCCTTCACAATTTGCGTCAAATGATTTATTTGTCATATTTCATTATTTTTCAAAGGACTATACAACTTTAGTTTTATATTTTCAATTTCATTAATAATTGTTAATAAAGAAAATTAATATATATTGTATTTATATATGCTTAGTGCTGGTAAATTATCGATCAGGTGCGCGACAAGATATTTAAGCATTTTTATAGGGTTAACTTGAGTGTCCGATCCCTGGAATATAAATCTGTGCCAGTATTAACATGATAATTTCAATTAAAACAGTTTATGGACAGTCCATACATTTACAGATTGTCCATTATAATATCATTAAATCCTAGACATGCTTATTGCAGGAACTTTCAGTAGGATATATTCCCAGGATATGGCTTTAAATTGAAGAGAATTGAATTGAACATGTTGAGGTCACAGCATGGGGTCCCGGCATGGGCTTTATAAAAATTTCAAATGACGGAGGTCATATTACTGTATTGTAACATGGCCTGCGATTGAGGGAAAACTTATTGTAACATGGCCTGCGATTGAGGGAAAACTGTAAGATTCAATGGGACATCAGGTGATCGGATGAAAATGTAATGTTCACAAGTATGAAAATTGTTTTAGAAACTAACACTGCATTGTTTCTTAAGAAAATGAACTGTTTCATAAGTGTCTAGCAGGCTTCGCGAAACTGCTGAAAAATTTGCCTGACATTCGGTCAGACAAACTTTCAATTCTTGTCTGACCGAAAGAACTTTTGTCTGTCCGAATTTTTTCCCCCAAATATATGTATATGGTAATACCTTGGTGTTTTTTTTAAAGACATAACAACTTTTAAAGGTTTGCAATTTTATTCCTTTAAATAAAAAATTAGTTTATCCAGATTGATGGACTCACAGGCGCTAGTCACATAATCAAATATTTTACATAACCAGTCTATATATGTATATAAAGATATATAGTATATAGCCCATATAAAACTTTAAAAAGTTTGTTTCAAGCACCTGTGGATGGACTCTGTCTGGAAATCAAAACATTCATGATCAAAGCAGCCATTTTTCCATTTACCGGGTACCCACAAATTTTCTCGGCGGGCGCCTGGACTCGTATTCCTTTTGTTTTGCTTTTTTTTCTTCATTGGATAGTTTACGATTTTTGCCGGGCCAGCGTAATAATGTAGTAACACCGTCATTTTGGTTATTGACAGTCGTATGTATTGGACACTTATAATGAAACGGCGAATCAAAACTCGTTTTACATTTTTTTAATCAAGGGAGAAAACTCGGTCTTGATCGGTCTTGGATATATCCCGGTATTCGTACCGGACATAAGGTCCGGAACTCCGGAAAAAAAAATCGGACCGGCCTGATTTTTGCCGGACATGTCCGACGGTCCGGCAACTTTCGCAAAGCCTGGTCTAGGATAATTACTCATTTGGATATTTTCATTTCAAAAAAGTTTTTTGTCAGTCCAATGATCAACAGAAAATTTCAGTGAAAAGGGGGGTAATCATCTTTGGGGACATTTTGCGAAAAATTTGGTCGGTCAACCCTATAAAGATAAAACAAGATCAGTTAAAATTTTGAGCCGTCCAGTTAGCTCAATAGATAGAACGTTGGACTGTGAATCTGGCGACCAGGGTTCGATTCCCAGATGGCCCAGATCATTTCGTTGTGATTTATCATGAAATCCTTTCGCACTGTACCTCTGCTCTGGCATGTAAAGAAGTTTCAGTTCCTTGTGAAAGTGAAAGCAACTAGTACTGGTAACTGCTTGACGGCCTGCCCAGGAATGATGCAGAGGTTTACTGTCGTGATCCAGAGTGAAAACTACCTTCAACACCACAAGTTTAAATTTCGTGTCAGGCATGTCATTCTTCTAGAAAAGTCAAATCTTCAGCATGAATACTCAATTTTGAGGTTGGTTTAGTGGTCCCTTATAAGGTAAGTCTATGGGAAAATTAATACAGTAGATCTAGTGCGAATGGATAATCTCGAAAACATGTGACAAACAAATTTTTGACATGATAGGTATCTTGGATGTATAAAACGAAGAAGTAACCTGATCTTGTGATGACGAAGTTGATATGCCATCATCATTATTTATATTGTTTTTCTCAAAATTGGTGTCACAGCATCTAAAATTGTGTAATTCCATTCCGTAAAATTTCAGATATTCCAAAAAACTCTTCCAAACGCTTGGTGAAAAACAAGCGTCTAGAAAGGTAGGGCTTAAATTTCGGGTCTCTCTTATGGCCATCAATTGCTACAGTGATTGTGGGCCATAAACCGCTGGGTACTAGAACACTAAATCTGTGTATTTTCTTCCTCGGTCCGCCTATCATACAGCTTATTACGGTACGTTTAAAAAGTATTGTAGAACTCTATCAAATGGAAAAAAATCTTTAAAACATTACATATAAAGAACAGTGGTGAACGTAACGAATGGTTGTCCAGCCAGACTTATTATGATAATTCGTATATAATTGCTTCTTATAGTCCCGTGTAAAAAACTTAAAAGTTATAGACTGTCTATTTGCTTGTGGACAGCGACATATGGCCCCATGTAAAAACTGAAACGACTTTAGAAAATAGGCTATATATTTCTCTTGTAGG